CGGTAACTCATGGCTAGTCGTGAGGCGCCGGACGGGTGAGTAATTTTTACGGAACAGATCGTAGAATTTACGTGACGATTGACACTTTTTATTGAATTTTACTTCGCTCCCAGATTACGTTTCGGAACGTAATTTTTACGTCTTTTTTCTGGTAATTTTTATTGAATATTTCTCTCCATGTATTAAAAAAAACTGATTGCTACGTGTAAAATTGATTTTTAGTTCACTTGTTGAAATTTCAACTCCTAAATTTTCATTAAAAAAATATTTTCCAGCGCATTAAAACGGAGAATACAATGCAGACCTTCAAAGTTTGAATCATAAAATCCTACATCACTCATCATTCGCTTCAATATCGGGCGCAACATCCGGTGGTATTTATATTTTTTTATTTTCCCACAGCGAGAAATTCAATTCAGTAACGTATAAACACTGATTCCCAATTTGTAACTATAAAAGTCAGTGTGAAATTTTCGTATGCATACGAGTTTTCCCCGGGGAGTCTGTGTGCACTCATATATTATTGAGGTAATGACTTTTCGGGGGTTTTACACCAGAAACGAAAATGGGAAATTGCACAGTCGGAATACCAAAGTCGCCTTCACCCTGTGGACGAGGGCAGTGAGACCCTCGTGGCTCTCAAGTGTACGGTTTGGCCCTCGTGGGGGAGAGGTAAGCGTCAGCCTGGGGGCGTCAGTAGTTATAAAATTTTAGTACTAGAGCAGGGGTACATCTACGCGAATGGGCCGACCAGAGCCCTGACGAGATTGTCTTTTATACGTGGAGACTATAATATTCTCTGATATTTAATTCAGTAGACATGGACTCAGCTTGATAATGATTTATTTTGACAGGAAATCTCCAGAGATATTTTTTCCACTCATTTTAACGCACAAAATATTTTTTGACGAGAATTCTCTTGGAAGAGATGAGGAAATTATTCATTTTGATGCGATGTTTTTGGTAATTTTTAGATAACAATAACATTTGTTTGAATTTTTTATGCAATATTATTAATTTTTGTAATGATTTCATCATTTAAAGCTTGAAGATCTAGATTTCATTGATTAATAAATTATTCTCGATTTATTTATCTACTTTTTATGCATTCGTTTGTATTATTGTTTTTTTTACCTCTGATATTTAATGCGGTAGTGAAGTGGTGGATCATCACTTCTCGTTAGACAGGACGTCATCTTAATAATGATTTATCTCGACTGGAAATTTCAAGAGATAAATTTTTTCCGTTCATTTTAACACAAAAAATATCCTTTGAAATGAATTCTCTTTAAAGAATTAATTAATTCAGTCATTTTCATGTGATTATTCAGCTATTATTTCGTGAAAATATTTGTTGAAATTTTTATGCAATATTGTGGATTTTCCCAGAGTTAAATTAAAGTCAAACATTTTGTAATGAGTTTATGATTTAAATTTTAAAGATCTAAATTTAGTTCATTAAAAACTTATTATCAAATAATTTTTTCTCTTTTTATTCATTCATTGTTATTATTAGTTTTCCTTTAGTTATGCATAAATTTCTCGACTGTTTTCGATTTGATTGATGATTTTGCTGAAAGATTAGAGAAAATATCATGCGAAGAAGAAACGAAAAAAGTTTTCCTCTTATTTTTCGTTTTTCGTTTGCATCCCGACAAGTACTAGGCTAAAATGCGTCGTCTTTATCTTCAATTTCCAATGCAACTTCTCTATCTCTTCAACACCGTCATTGGAAGGATGTGGAAATTCCCATGCATGAAAAAATTCAATCAAGAATCTCAGCGCTTTCGTTAGGAACTCCCATTCACTATTTCCATTGGTTTTCCGCCGATTTGTATTGAGCGAGACGCATTTTTCCCCGCGTCCTCTGCACTGAAAATGTAGCAAAAAAAATTCAATAGAGCTTTAATGTCAACAGATCCAGACTGTTTTCTATTGAACCTGATTTATTACGAATTCTCTAATTAAAATCTTGTTGAATAATTTCCCAGGTGAGACGAGAATAAATGAAATAGAAATCTTGAGGCATTCGGAAATATTTTTCTCGTATTTAATATTTTTTAATTGCAGAAATCAACAGCATTTTCTTTCTCAATATTTATTCATTCATTTATTCATTTATTCATTTATTCACTTATTCATTTATTTATTTATTTACTCATTTATTCTTTTATTAATTTAAATAAACTCGCAACTGCGTAAAATCTCGATTACAACTGAATTAAAGAAATTCCTCTTCAGCTTGTTAACGTCATTACCCAGACTGTCCTCGTACTCTGGCAATCATGGATCGTGTTTCAGGACTCCTGCGAGATGCCAGTGGACAACGTATCGAATTTCGCAGGTGGTAGTCAGTGAGGATTAGATTGTTCAAATGTACCGGGAAAATTGTTTCTCTAGGGAGGGGGACACATGCACTAATGGCTGCCATTTTAGGTATTACCGGGAATTTGTCTGTGTACTCACATGACATGAAAATAACATTGGAATTGGATACCACTACCTGCTGACATCTGTCTCAATGTAATTTTCTGCGGACACCTAAATTAATTCGAGCTGCAGGAACTCGATGCGTGGCGAGTAGTGGCGGTCGTTTGTTCGGAGGATGTGGGGGTGGCAGTGCTTTGTTGAGTATTGACATTCTCATTTTTTTATTTTTACGCTGTCCGATGGAAGACTGCAATCGTTCGAATTTAAATTTTTAATTGCTCACTAATGAATCCATGGAATTAATCACATTTTTTTAATATAGATAGGGAGGTTGGAGCAAAATGGGCACTTTTGATTTTTTTTCAATGTTAATGAGGGGTTGAAATATTGATGAAATTAAATTTTTTTTTTCAATACAAAGAACAATTCTTTTCCCTTGAGATGAGCCTAAACTGAGCTCAATTGATGAATTTGTTTCTGAGTTATGAATAATTTAAAAAAAGTCTAGTGTCCATTTTACCCCCACCTTCCCCGCTTTCCCCGATTGTTAATGATTCAATTGAAACATTAATTAAAATTCAATTCGTAAACTGATTTTAGAATTCTCTAATTTTTAGAAAATACGAAATTTTTCAATTTCGAAAAATAAATTCCGGCAAAATTCATCGGATAAATAAAATACAATGACAGCAGAAAATTATGTGCAAAATAAAAAGTACTTGGGCTATAGACAGCAATTTTCCACTTGTCTTTATTTGTTATAAATTAAAATTGAAGAGTTTATATAAGAAATATTAATAACAAATTATGATTAATAATTATTCATTGATTTAGATATTGAATCAAGAAAAATTGTTATTATTACAAAACAAACGGAAAAATCCGAATTTTTCACTCGCAGAATCACCTACTTCATCTAACTCTCTGTTTCATCTACTTGACGTTTCTTTATTTTTATAATTTTTTCATATTTATTTTATGCAAATTATTGAGGAATAACGCACTTCAATCGAATAAAACTCTTTATTTCAAACTTTTTTATTTATTTCAATAATATTTTTAAAGATTTCGAAAATAATAATAATAATAGTTAATATGAGAAATAATAATAACAAATTATGATTAATAATTATTCATTGATTTAGATATTGAGACAAGAAAAATTGTTATTATTACAAAACAAACGGAAAAATCAGAATTTTTCACTCGCAGAATCACCTCATAAGCTCGTGATTCTAATCCTCCTGAGGCGCTCGGATTTTCTTATTCTCCAGCCCGAGTCACCGTTCCTGCCACGCCCGACGTGAAAATATTCGTAACAATGTCCAATCGTCGAAATTCTATTCTCCGCGTCCACCAGGGACCGGCGGCAATTTGTGCTTGCTGGGGAATTAGAGTGAAGGGGTGTGAGAGCCTCGCATTTATATTAATTCCCGAGTTATAATCTGCCCTCCCTCATTTCTCGTGTCTTGACATTATATAAATCCGTTGGTAAAGGACTGTTACATAAACTGTACCCTACGGGTAAGATGTTTCAGGACAGTTGCGAGAGGATCAAGTGGCGAAAGCGAATTAATGTTTGCAGGGATGATCTGGGAGTTGTGGCAAGGAGAATTCGAGTTATTGGTTGCGTAATATAGGAGATATTTAATCTTTTCTGACGTTGAAGACGTTCACTTAACACTGTCAAACCCTCGCATAATTTTCTGTAGAACTGATGCATTCACCCGAAAGACGTATCAATTTCTCACCAAAAAAATCATTTCCACGGAAGTTATCAAGCTCTGATGGAAACTTTCTTTATTGTCTGCAAATAAACTGATTCCACACATCGAAAGATCTCTCACGTGGAACATATACTTTTCGGGCAGAAGTGACTTTTCCTCTCAGTGCGCCCAAACGAATCTCTTCAATAATGACGGACACGAGGGTTCGTTATCACAAATACCTTTTGCACATTAGAATGATTTTAATTATCGATAAAGTCATTATTAATATCAATATCAATTAATATTCGTATTACTGTCATTAGTTATTGATGAAATAATCGTTGGGTGGATATAATTGAGTGTATCACACTCATTCGATGTGAGGGAATCCCATACGATTAAACCGCAGATGGAATATATTGACGACAAAGGAATATAATTTTCGCAAAATAAATTAATTCCCCTAGAAACTCTTCAGTTCCGGCGACGACTCAATTTTTCGGGGGAGAATTCAAGTTTTTTCTCGAAACTATCAGTTGTTCCGGGGCCATCATGACTGTTTACAGGAGAAATATGGACTTTTCTCAATAAAATTCACTTGAAACATTCTCAATTCACCAATTTCTCAGGCAGTTCCACATCAAACAACTCGAGTGGACACGTGTGAGGTGTCCCTCATCGTCCTGTTGCTCCTCCGGAATATCGAGCAATCTGTACAGTCGCGAGGGGAGGGCTTTCGCTCGAATTGGCTCCCACCACCGCTGGCCACCAGCCCTCTCTCCCACCGAAACTCCCGTGGGATGCGTCGCCCGTACCTTCACGAGAATATAAAGTCATCGCGTGCTCCCAAGCAAAGTCACATCGCCGCTGACTCGAACAAGTAGTACTACCCCGTCACTGTCGACCGCTGAGTAGATTCCTCCGACGAGATCAGACCTGACGACCACCTGTTCCGGCAACTGCACCCTAGTTTCACCGATTATAAGGTACTGCTAATGATCCTCACGATCTTTATCCCGTTATTTTTTAGTCGTTGTTCTCATCTACTTCATGTTTCTTCATTTTTATAATTTTTTCATTATTTATTTTATGCAAATTATTGAGGAATAACGCACTTGAATCGAATAAAACTCTTTATTTCAAACTTTTTTATTTATTTCAATAATATTTTTAAAAATTTTGAAAATAATAATAATAATAATAATAATAATTTGAAAAATCATAAATTCAGGGATTTGTTTGGTTGAGAATGTTTTAATTGTGTGAAATATTTAGTTGATTTCTGACTAATAAAATCACTATTTGGATGGAGAAAATATTTGTTTATATTTTTAAAAATATTCATTAAGTGTTAATAATGTTTAAGTTTGAATAAATTTATTTATTTGATTCAAATAAATTATTTCTGTAGATGTACTTCATGTTTGTGAATAAATTGTTGTTTATTATGTGTATTGTGATTTTTTAAAATCCTATTTCCTTTTTTAAATTTTATTTGTCGAAAATTTAAACAATCTGAATATTTTCAATTTATTTAATTTCAAGGGAAATATAAAAATTAGTGATAATATTTTATTCCGTATTCATAAAATGATTATTATTTATTAAGACATAATAATAGAAAAAAACGTCGAGAAATAGCTAGCACTCAAAATTTAGAAGCCTTTCGCAAACTTAACAATATTTTTGATGAATAATATTTTATAATTGTTTTTAATAATTAATATTTGTTTTTATTTTTAAAAATATTTATTAAACTTACAGATAAATATGCAAATGGGAATCGAGTTTACGTGTGAATAAATTATTGTTGATCATATGCGTTGTGAATTTTTTTTTTTAATGAATTTCTATTTTTACAAATTCTAAAAAATTAAAAAGATCCCATAATTCATTCACACAATTTTATTTTATTTTATTTTAAGGGAACCATCAAAATTAATGAATAATTTTTGCACTTCAAGAATTCTTTCCTCATTTTCTCCTGAATCCCAAAAAACTTGCCCATTTATTTTAAAAAAATATAACAAAAAACATTGAAGAATAGCAAGCACTCGAAATTCCCAAGTCTCGCACAAACTTTTCACTCACGAAAGTAGACGTCTTACCCGACGGCATTATCAAGCATGACCTGACAGGTTAACAGCGCGAGCCCATCCATTCATGCTCACCCTGAGCTCCTCAAAGATGAATGAGCGATAGCTCGCATTATCCTAAAAAAGGGGCCCAGGGATAACGCAACGGGTAAAATGACTTTGTGACGTCAATAACGAGTCTTATCGTGGGAATGCATCATCCCATGCCATCACTATTACATAAATATCGAGGAACCGCGCCGATTATTTCGGATCGTGTGTCATTTCTGTTTGAACACGGACGATCGCTGATGCAATCATCAAAAGCGTGTTCCGCGCATTACATGGGGATTATAACTGTCATACTTTGCGTCATTAAAAAGATTATCCCTTTTCGAAATGGATGATGAGGTAATGTGAAACGTGAAATATATTCGGCGATTAGTATATTTTCAAGCTATTATTTTAATTTTTATTACACGGAGAGAAATATTCAAGAAAAATTACGGAACATTTCACGTAATCCGCAAGCGAGAATCGTTTTCAGTGAATTTCTATAGGAATATAAGAGAATAAATCTGAAACGTTCAGTAAATATTCGGGTCTGTCACCGAAAAAATACGAAAAAGTCACGTTATTTTTCTGGAAGTTGTAAAATCTAGCAGAAACTTCAAGACTTATTATGCCTCAGAAGATGAAAATTCTTGGATGCTTAAGAATTTTCACGAAAAGTTCCGGAAAAATTACGGAACGTGTTGTTAAAATCTGCCCCTCACGGTGACTCATGGCTAGCCGTGAGGCGTCGGACGGATGAGTAATTTTTACGGAACAGATCGTAGAATTTACGTGACGATTGACACTTTTTATTGAATTTTACTTCTCTCCCAGATTACGTTTCGAAACGTAATTTTTACGTCTTTTTTCTGGTGATTTTCATTGAATATTTCTCTCCGTGTACTCTTTAATTTTTTTCGGGGTTGAATACGTTTTTATTTTGATGTCAAGTGAATATTATCGAATGAAGTATATATTTCTCCAGTAAACTGTCATAATGTCCCAGGAGCAACTGATAATTTCAAGAAAAAACTTGAATTTTCCCCCGAAAAATTGAGTCGTCACCGGAACTGAAGAGTTTCTAGGGGAATTATTTTCTTTTGTGACAATAATATTCCTTTGTCGTCAATATATTCCGTCTGGGGTATAATCATATGGAATCCCCTCACATCGAATGAGTGTGATACACTAAATTATATGCACCCAACGATTATTTCATCAATAACTAATGACAGTAATACGAATGTTAATTAATATTGATATTAATAATGATTTTGTCGATAATTAAAATCATTCAAATATGCAAAAGGTATTTGTGATAACGAACCCTCGTGTCCGTCATTATTGAAGAGATTCGTTTGGTCGCACTGAGAGGAAAAGTCACTTCTGCCCGAAAAGTATATGTTCTACGTGAGAGATCTTTCGATGTGTGAAATCAATTTAGTTGCAGACAATAAAGAAAATTTCCACCAGAGCTTGATAACTTCCGTGGAAATGATTTTTTTGGTGAGAAATTGATACGTCTTTCGGGTGAATGCATTAGTTCCACAGAAAATTATGCGAGGGCACGTCCAAATCATAATTTCAAGAAAAAAATTAAGTCAAACCCATCTCGGAGGAACTTATCCCAGAAACAATAAACTTCATCCAAGTTACCTCACCCGCAATTACTTCCCCCACGTGCACCACCCATAGTACACGTTAAAGTCATATGCTGTACTATTAAGTTTTACGTAATGACTGACACATTTTACAGTACCGAATACAATGACGTGGACAGTGCATTCATTCAAGCTTTACAATGATTAAATTACCAAAACAAATGAAAGTTTATTCCACACATGACGGCTATGATATTGGCTGAAATTCGTTTAACGATTTTGCGGGCGGGGTAATATCCGTTGACACGTTAACTGGAAATCGTCGATTGCTCCCATTCCGGGAGGCGAATCATAACAGTTACCTTATGATATTTGATTATCTCCCCAATTTCGCGAGGGAAAAATTCTTCGCACGATGTTTCAGAGCTATACTCATGTTTTTTGTTCTATCAAACGTGTGAATTCATGAATTCTTTTCACTATTGTTCAAATATGCACGAAACACACGTCGAAATGAATTTCTGAATAATTAACGTGGGTGGGCGAGATATTGACTTGAAAACGTCTGATTTCCAGCGCCTAGTGAAACATTCCGGCGGAATTCATGCGACTAATCAAATATTCAGTTTCAAAACTCGAAATTTTTTAATTTGCGAAATTAGAGGAAAGACAGTTGCATAAAATTCGAAATGTCTTGACGTACATTTACTTTGGCAAAATCGTGGAAAAAAATCAATTTCTATTTTGGAAAATTCCAAAAAGTTCAGATCATTTCATTTCAAGGGAATTAATGAAGAGTTATAGAAATTAATAGAATTATAGAAATTAATAGAAATTAATGAAGAATTTCTATAACTCCATTAATTTATATAATTCTTCATTAATTCCCTTGAAATGAAATGATCTGAACTTTTTGGAATTTTCCAAAATAGAAATTGATTTTTTTCCACGATTTTGCCAAAGTAAATGTACGTCAAGACATTTCGAATTTTATGCAACTGTCTTTTCTCCAATTTCGCAAATTAAAAAATTTCGAGTTTTGAAACTGAATATTTGATTAGTCGCATGAATTCCGCCAGAATTAGTAGAATTATAGAAATTAATAGAAATTAATGAAGAATTTCTATAACTCCATTAATTTATATAATTCTTCATTAATTCCCTTGAAATGAAATCATCTTAATTTTTTAGAATTTTCCAAAATAGAAATTCTTCATTAATTTCTATTAATTTCTATACTGCAAGATTTCTTGTCTCTATTTATTCCGTATTCGTGAAAGAATTCTTATTTAGTATTTGTAAACGTTTATTATCAACAAACCTGTGAATTCATGAATTCTCTCTTTCCTATTGTTCAAATATGCGCGAAACACACGTCGAAATGAATTCCTAAATAATTAACGTGGGTGTACGACATATTGACGCGCATTTCGCAGCGAAACCCTCTGATTTCCGTCGCCTTATGAAACATTCCAGCGGAATTCATACGACAAATCAAATATTCAATTTCAAAACTCAAAATTTTCAAATTTACAAAATTGGAGGAAAGACACTTGCATGAAACTTGAAATGTATTGACGTAAATTCCGTTTTCTTATTGTCAGATTCAACATGCAGCTATCACGAGAAATGCTGTGCATCGCAGTAGCGTTGGTTTGCGTTATCTGCCTGTCCTCAGCCCTTCCAGCCGACAAAGAGAGATTTCTCAACGAGCTTGACGTGAGTGTTGCATTCGTCTTTTACCTCCCGCTTTGAAATTTTTTGGATATTTCAGGGCAAATGTGTTGACAGCTTCATTGAAAGATTGGGAAAAAAATAAGAAAATTTGTGCGCTTCAACGATATAAAATTAATGAATTAATTATAGAAGAAATTCGCTTTTTTATTTTTTTTGGGAAAAGTGATAAAAATTAGAGAAAAATTGAAGAATAGGAAAATTGGATACAAGAATATTATTATTATAATAATAATAAAACTCGAGTACGTCAACACAATAAAATTATTTTAAAAAATTGGGGAAGAGAATAAGAAAATTCGTGTGCACCAATGCAATAAAATTAATGAAAAACCTATACAACATGAAATTCGCATTTTTATTTTTTCTTTATATTAAAAAATCGTCCCATACGCTACATACGCAAGAAATCAGCTTGTACACCATCTGCTGGGACGCGTGTCTTTGCAATTCAAATGCCGAGTGCTATAATACCCCGAAGAACACGCCCAAGGAGCTCCGGAATTTGTTTCCAACGAAATTATGCGCATTTGTCCGTAAATATTGGAGGATTATGTACAATGTTCAGAGGGAGATGGGTCAATATTCGAATTCAAGAGCCTCCTCGGAGGGTGACAGCTCGCGTCTGGGGATTGATCGAGTGCGCTCCAACTGAAGACGATGTGTCACCTCAAGCACATTCCGTCATTATTGAAAACAAACTTCCGGTGGTTATCAGCTCCAAACGCTAATTACCACAATTCGAGGAGCGTCGGAGTTACGTAGCTGGATTATTACATAACATTTGGCTTTCATCCCTCATTTTGATATAATTGTTTTAATGGCTATCGCGGGGGGTAGGAATATCATCGAATGATTTTTCATGCGTAATTGAATGACTTTGGAGCCGAATATTTGAAGATGCCGTCGGAAAATTCAACACCCGGGAAATTTTAGAAAAAATAAATTTGTAAAAATTATCGTGAAAATCAAATTAACGGGTATAGCTGGTGTAATCAATATTTTAAGCTATGATTGAAGTAATTTGAAGCATTGTGTTCGAAGATATCTCCGCAATTCTCAGTTTTACAAAATATAACTTTTTTTTTCAATTCTAAAATTATTAAAATTAATGTATGAATTAAATTTTAATTCGTGTCTCACGATTTCAAAGCTTCCATTCAGAAGCAAAAAAAGTCAAATTTTCGAGACACATGATCTTCAAAAATCATTGGAGTTGAAAATTTAGATTTTTTATGATTCATAATTAAATTAATTTGGAACAGCATATTTGCAGAAATTTTAGAAAAAATTGAAATTTGCAAAAATCATCGTAAAAATTGAACCTACGGATGTAGCTATCGTATACTATTGGAATAAATTAAAATTTCGTGGACAATCGACTAGTAATTTTCAAGAGAGTAGTACTAAATGCGATTTAGGGGGGAAAAATTATGAAATTTTAGGTTTCACTGAAAATTGAGTGAAATTCCAGGATTTTAAGGACCGCAAAGACCAGAATTCCTCAATTTATTTGAATTTTCAATCTGAAATGAATATTCAGTGTCCCATTACATTGAATTTCCCACGAAATCTGAAATTTCATTATTTCAAATTATTTAAATCAATTCAAAATATTCAAATATTTAAATTATTTAAATCATATTCAAATTATTTAAATTTCATTATTTAAAATAATGAAATTTCAGTGAATTTTCAATTTAATCAAAATTTCATTATTTAAATCAAAAATTCACTGAAATTAATGAAATTTAAACACGTAATCGCATTCAGCATCACTGTCCTGAAAATTAAAAAATACATTTACCGTATTTTCTATGAACTTCCAGGGAAAAATCCAAATTTTTAATGACAAAATTCCTTGAAATTTCCGTCGTAATTGAACTCAATAGAAATTTCCGAAAAGTATACCAAAAATTTCAGACAAAAATTCTTAACAGTGCACGAACATTAAAAATCTCCCGTCACGCTCACGAGGCTGATCGAAACCTCCACATCCCCGAGAAATCTCCACCTCCATTATAAAAAAATTGTGACACGACCCGTAAAGGACACTCCCTGATTGCATCACGGGACATCAGATAAGAAGATTCAATCGTCTGCAAAAGAGAGCGATGAATTTGAATCTTGATTACCGCATCTCCCGATGAGAGATCTTAACCCGCGATTGACGATTCTTGACGGCGAGCATCCGACCGCACATAACGACGCCCCCTCCCCCCATTTTTTCCGCGAGTGCCCCTTGATCACCGTCACCCCGTTATTTTTCCTGTCGCTCGTCGTGACACAGTCAAAGTGAAAGAAAACTAGAGGATGACGACACAAACCGTCTCTAATAGAAAGAAAATATCCGCGGATAAGGGCATACTTGAGGGATATTTTTTCAAAATAAAAATCCACTGACAGGCGAATGAAACTTTTCCCGGTTGATCGGCCATGTGATACGCTGAAGGCACACGAAAGTGAAACTCTGCGAACCGTGCGGAAGCACCACTCCGTGTTCTTCCGAAGATATCTCGAGTAGTCGCATTGAATGCTCAGCTTTTGATTGAAATAACGTTTGAATGGTTTAATAAAGGTATCTTTCACTGATCAAAGATAAATGTCAAACAAATGTACGTACCTTGGTTGAATCTCGGTCAAGATTCTGTTGTTTATGTACCACTGAATTCATTGAGAATTATTTACGGCTAAAGGAATTATTAGAATGAAAATAAAATGTCACATCGGATTTTTAGATTACTTCGGAACATTAATGGATTATTTATTCATCGATCAATGTTGAAATAATTATTTGAAATAATAACAATTCTTTTCAGTAAAATGTAATAATAGTTTTTAATATTATTTACCGTTAGAAGGACCTGTAATAATAATAATAATAATAATAATAATAATAATAATAATAATAATAATAATAATAATAATAATACTGAAAAATCAATTATTTGAAATACTAATAATTCTTTTCAGTAAAATATAATAAGTTTTTTTTTGTTTTGTTTGAATTATTTGATTATTGATCTGTTGATCTGTTGACACGCACGAAAAAATTTTATAGAAAAATAGCATTTTCTATTGAGACGTTTCCTAAGTTTTTTCCACTTTTCGTTTTTTTCCTTTTAATTGGAAAAATCAAACAAAACACTTGGAAAATTAGAGTCGAGGGATTTCTATAGAAAATGTTTCACTAGTAAAAGTTGGAGAGAAAGATAGAATTTTACTAATTTTTTCTGTAAAATAGTAAACTGCGGAATTCTTCAATAGAATTAATCGAAAACTAATAGCATTTTCAATAGAAATCCAAATTTTCTAGATTTTTTTATCGTAATCTCTAGTTTTTTCTAGAAATTTCTTTCGTGTATGAAGTATATCACTTGTGAATTCATTGTTGTATTATAAATCATTTGAAAATCCAATGTCAAATGTGTTCGTGTCTCTCTAACTTCATTGAGAATTATTCACGGAATTATAAAATAAAAATGAATGGTCATGTCGAACATTTAAATTAATTTGGATAATTAATGGGTGGTTTATTCACAGATCAATGAACCATATATCCAATGACTACGTCATTGATCTATCAAGATGCACGAAAAAATTTAATAAAAAAATGAGATTCTCTATTGATCCATCGCCTACAGAAATTCCTCAAAATCTTCTTTCCTTTCGATTGAAAAAACCAAACAAAACACTTGAAAAATTATAGCCGAGGAATTTCTATAGAAAATCTCTCAATGGAAAAAGTTTCTATAAACTTCGGAATCATTATTATATTATTAATTATGCATTCATTATTACATTATCAATTCCCTTAAAAAAATCATGTAAAAATTCCATGTATACATAATTCACATTTGAATATTCCGCAGCTCGTAGACGACGACGGCAGCATGGAGACTGCGCTAATAAACTACCTCTTCACGAAGCAAATGGTAAAACGTCTGCACAATCAGATTGACATTGGCGATCTCCAGCGCAAACGCACCTACTGGAAGCAGTGCGCCTTCAACGCAGTCTCTTGCTTCGGCAAGTAAACCCACCAGAATAGGAAAAACCCCTGTTTGCACCGGTGTGCAACGACTCCTTTCGATATTTTCGTTCCGGTCCTTTCGAACTCGGTCAAAAGTACATCCGAACAAATTTTTAAGGATGTTTAGCCATTTTCAGAAAATCTTATTTTTTCAGGTTCAAGGAAAATTCTATAATTTTTTTGCCTGATAGCAGAACATATGAAACCAACTTCTTTGATGTTAAAAAAAAATTACCCACCAGAATAGCAAAAACTCCTGTTTGCACCGGTGTGCAACGACTCTTTTCGATATTTTCGTTCCCCTCACACTCTCTCTCGCTCTCTCTCTCTCTCTCTCTCTCTCTCTCTCTCTCTCTCTCTCTCCTCCTCCACGTCCCTCCCGTTTTAGATGTCGTGTTATTTATCGATGTGATTGAACACTCGAATGCACGTGGGCCGAAGAATACCCGAGGAATTCTGAATTAATGTCATCCATTCATTGGCAAATATTCCGGGAACCCAGTGAATTCAATCCCACCGCCAGTGGCAGAAATGTTCCGATCAATTATGAATTCTTCGCTCCATGTTTGAAGACCGATGAGAATGAATTCTTGATATTTAGAGACAGAAAATTATGTAAATCGAAATTTTATTAGTGTTAATGTTTAATCTCCCAACGAAAATCAATGTGAGTTGAATTAATAAATATTTTACTGTCACAGTGCAAAATAAAATGGCATTATTAGATCCACATAGTTCAACTGATGACGAGAATCCCAACAATTTCAGTGAATTCATGCGCTAGCTGGCAAATTGAAAATTAATTATCAATAGAGGATATCGGGGGAACGGAGGACTGATGAAAAACAAAGTTGAACAAGTGTACGGTTGATCATTCCATTGTACATCGTCACCATAGTTTTGATTAAAATCAGCGTGGCACCAGCACGTTTATTTTTCAATTGTTATGCTCACGAAAAAAACAAAAATTGACGAAATAAATCGCATTTCAACTGCACAATCTCGTTCTCCTTCGACTCCCATCACTGGATATTGTCCATCCAAAATTTTATTTCAGTGGTAAATACGGATAAAGGTACAAACCATTATTTTGGATTAGTCGCGACAAAATACAGGACTAATTTATCATTAAGCGGGGAAAATGTTGTAACAAGAAAGCGATAACTTGAGTTTATGGGGGGTAATAACCAGCATGGATTGACTTTGAGGTAGGGTGTATCCAGGACTCTCTAGAGATATGAGGGAGTAACCCACATGCGCACTATTTGCGGAAGATTTCCCACTTGTATTTGAAAAATCAGGAGTTCCTTTTTTCTCCAACTCAACTGTGTAAATAAAATTGATTAATGGAGCTGCAGCGGGAATTAAATACTAGTTTTCCTCCAATATTTGACTGCAAATAGGATTTTCTTGAGCAAATTATTTGAAAACAATTCGAGGATTTCATTATTTGAAATTTAAAAATTTTTTAATAATTTTGTTGTGGAGATTATTCGAATTCTAGTCAATTTATGACGTTTGATGACTTCAGAATAGTAATTCTGTGGATTTTTTATGATTTATGAGATTGAGGTATTTTTGGTGTTTTTATTATTTGATTTTTTTAAGGGAATGAGAAGAAAAAATTGAGGAAATTCATGTCGAGGAATTTCTATAGAAAATGTCTCAACAGAAAAATATTTACAGAAAGAAAACCGTTTCTATTGCATATTTTTAATTGAAAAAAATTGAATTGATTTTCTAGAATTTATTCCATTGAAATATTTTCTATAGAAATTCGACTCAAATTTTCAAGTATTGTTCTTTGATTTTTTAAATGACTCTAGAATTGTAATTCGATTCGATGAATCTGGCGGATACAATTCTTCTGTTGATTTTCTACAATTTATGAGATTGAGGTATTTTTGGTATTTTTATTATTTCACTTTATTTAATGAAAAAAAAGAAAAAATTAGGGAAATTCACGTCGAGGAATGCCCATAGAAGATGTCTCAACAGAAGAAGATTTACAGAAAGAAAACAATTTCTTCGGGATATTTTTAATTGAAAAAAAATTCAATTGATTTTCTAGAATTTATTCCATTGAAATATTTTCTGCAGAAATTCGACTCAAATTTTCAAACATTGTTCTTTGATTTTTTAAATGACAATACTAGAGATGTACGTGCGCGTATGGTTTTGCATGTAGCGCTAGATGATTTTTCAGTTCGTTTTATTGTTATATTTTATTTTTATTAGAAAAACAGAATAAATATATATATATATATATTCGAATAAACTGGTGACAAAAAACGTTACATTAGATTTTTTTATAATGGAAAAACCCCCAATTGCATAGAAATTCAATACAATTTTCTCTCAAATTCATTACGCCATTCTATGCATTTTTCGTGTGTGTAGAATCACATTTTTCGTTAATACCGCACAATGCCTCTATTACCCGGCTTAAAGAGGTCTTTTAAATTCAATGAAGTGCATTTGCAACATAATGGACAGTCACGAAGAGGCCGGTGGAATGAAAAAGTGATCTTTAAAACCCCTCACATTTGATTTTCATCATGGCCCAGTTTTTTCATCAATGGTAAGTACACTCGCAGTCACAGCGAATGGCCAGAAGCGTAACGGCGTGGGGTGATTCATCCTGGTTACGGGAAGATGAAACTACAGACTCTATCCAAGATTCATTTACACGTTGCGCCGAGGGTGCCGCACACTCCTGGAATGACACAAAACGCGAGGCAAAATTTTCATAAAGAATTCGCCATTAGTCGGGGCTTTTTCCGTATGGGGGTGGGGGAAGTGGAGTTCATGACTTCTCGCATTTGTTAATGCATGCCTCAGGGCGAGTCGAGTAATGGGGCTGTAATGTATGCTTGAATTTCAAACTCAACCGCAGATAGCGATGGCTAAAATTCCATCGTGGACACATTTACGACAAACACGATTAAACTTGGGTAAACGGCTCAAACGTGATTATGGTCGTGGATGCTAATATGTTTATCGCGGGGGGACAGCGATGTCGATGTATACGACAATGGCGTATTCCGGCGGTGTAATTTTGGGGGCGAACCTGAGACTTCTCGGATTTAATTCCCATTGCACATGATTTTTTTCATTTTTTAAATTTGCATTAATTTTTTTAATCAGGCAAATAATTTTTAATGGAAAGCCAAAGGGGAAATTGCACTTGTATTGCGTATAGTATAGTTATTTTTTCTAATGAGTTAGCAATGTGCTTTCATTTTATTAGTTGAATGTTATCATCATCATTATTCTTACTATTCCGTTCCTCTATTCGAAATTTCAACAATCATCATGAAAATCAAATCAACCAATAGAGCTATCGTAATCATCTTTTAACTTCGAATATCCTCGGAATTCTGATTTTCAGAAAATACAAAATTTTTGAAAATTTTGAAATAAATCAAAATAACGATTTTTGCTATCGCCTTCATCTCCGAACTCGGTCAAAAGTTAATCCGAACAAATTTTTAAGTCGTCATTCAATCAATTCAGAACATTTTTTTTAGTTATCGTGGGATAACCGATTTTTTAAATAATTCGAAAATTAAAAAACTAATAGATGAATTAAATTTTAATTAATAGCGATGTAAATTTGAAGTGAAAAGAAACAATTTCATCCATTCATTAGACCATACTGAGTCGGTATAACAAAAAATGCAAAACATGAATTTGAATAATTTCAAAAATTCAAATTATTCATTTTCAAAACATTTTTCACCGCTTCAAAATGAAAAATAATTCCACAGAAAAAAAAACTTGGATATCCTCAGCATGTCGTCCAATCCCTCCTTATTCCAGCCCCTGTACTGAATATTTCAGATGCTTAGACTACACAATCCGCAAGATTAGCCTCATGTCCTCGTTATCTCTTTCATCCCACTCAATTATGACGCGAGCACCCATTCGAGAATTCATACAACTTCCGACTTACCCTCAGCTCTCCTTCATCTATTTCCATTTTGTCGTAAATTACGTGAGTGACCTCACATCGACTGGCCGCATCCTCCAGGACTGCAGCTCCCAAGCTGCGATTCGTCAAGGAAAAAAAAACCTCTAGAGAGTATTTAGACATTGAGAATTTCTCTCCCGAAGAAGACTTATCGTGCAGATTTTTTTACTCTAATTGGGGACAGCGGAAGATCATTAAGACGTTTGAAGAACCTCGCGAATCGACGTGAGCAGGGCCCGAGGGACTTCAAATGAAGGCGTCCGCCCGCAGGACATGACCGACAGAGAAAGGAAAACGTCGGTGCAGAGAACGCATTAATATTTTTTCCATTAAAAAAATTTAATCAAAATATATGGAATTCGAAAAATACACGTCATTGCGACTATGAAAGGACAATGTAATTAACAATGGAGAGGGAAATTATGAAGCTGTGCAGGCAAATTAAACCAATTCGACTGCTCAACAGCTCCATTTTTCGATAATCATTTTGTCTCGTCTAGCAAAAATAAATGGGACTATTTTCCGATGTAATTGAACGTGGGAAGATTTTTAAAGACACTAATAACGTGAATTTTTTCCTCTGAACATTCGCGCGATACTGATTTCTGTCGTGTGAGAGCATTGCTAGGAGGAGTCGCTCTCATAGCTCTCGAGAATAACTTGGTAAATATCCCATTACGAGGGAATTTCCGGGGATGAGGGAGATGCCTTACACGACTTCACGATTCAATTTATCTCTTCGATTTCCGTTCAGTGTTTCTGCTGGAAATTTTTTCATTGTTGAATGTGAAAAAAATATCATAGACAAAATTCCATTCTATTCCCATTGACTTTCTATTATTTTTTGACCGATTCTGTTGAAAAATTTCGCTGAAAAGATTTTGTTGAAAAAAACAATAGAATTATTCTTGAAATTGTCAAATTTTTTTGGTTGATTTTTCCAATGCAAAAGAAGAAAAATCGCGTTGACTCATCGATTCTTAATGATCAAAATAGTTTTCATTTCTGAAAAGGATACGTTTTCAGAGTCCGTGCCAATACCCTCCTCCGTTCCCCCGGAACACTCTCGCTAATGAAAGCGTGGACTCTCCCCAAAACTCCCCTCGACGCCTGTAAAATTCAAAATTTCATTCACTGCATCCACACACCAAAACTCAATTCAAGACAAGCTTAACCGAACTGATAACGAATCCGTGAAACTTTATTTTTCCACAACAAACTTCGACTCGAATGCAAGAAATATGAGAATCACAAGTTGACGAAAGCGTCAAGTGAGTTGAACTTAATTATTGTTCTGAATAAATTGATCCCTGAGTTTTCAAAGTGACTGGCAAAACTTACAACTTCACCGGGGCGCCTCTCCGACAATGGTTTAGCATCTCGAGGCAGCCCTTCCCTCGGTTTGCGACCCTCTATCCAATTCAAAGGTCTCCCATCGGCGGTAAACTCAATGTACTGAGAAACAAAAAAGATGGAGACGATAAGTTTGTCCATCTCTCTTCTCCATTCACATACTTACGTCATTGTCGAGAAAAGCATAAAAAGCGGCTTCATTACCCCTCCCTGCATCATTTTTTTTTAATTCCGCACAGTTCTCTGCATCCAGTGTTCCTCGCCCATCCGCACTTTTCTTATTTACGTCATAATCCATTATTCCAACATCAGGCTTAATCTCATTTACAGTCGTCTCTTCGTTGACTCTGTCCCTCACTCCTTTTATACAATAGTTATCCAACTTCTTGGTCTTCTTGTTACCTGTCTTTTTAGTGTCAGACTTATTGCCCAGTAATAATGAGAAATCGATGGAGTCGGAGCGCTTTTTAAAAAGTTGTCGCAATTCATCAAGCGATGTTGCTGTTGCCCAATCCTTATCATCTCTTATTCTGGTCACGCGTGGAAAACGTATACTTATGCCCTCGGCAGTATGTACCCCCTGATTCGTAAATTCCGCTCCTGTTATTTCCCATACCGGTTGTATCTGTACAAAATGTACATTCATTGGATTGTATATCGTTTCTGTTTCATATTCAGTGAATTTGAAATCTGGAGTCCAGGGGTTAACGAGAATGGGAGCAGACAATACTTAGTTACAAATATTGAGTGAAATAAAGCTACTGAATGTTAGCAGAAAAAAAACTACCGAAATTTCATAGAAAAACTTTCGGCATTCACTGGAAGATTCTACGAATTTTTATTGAAAAATTTGACAGCTTATTTTCGCGTTTTTTTAATAGAAATGTTCAATAGAAAATATTTTATATGATCCTCCAATTACAGAAGTCTTGAAAAGAGAAGAAAAGAGATGAGTCGATTCTGACTATTGACCAGTTTTCAGTCAATATCTCGGAATCTAAGGGAGATAGCGAAATTTTTGTTATAGCCTTTTTTGTGGAGCCGATTGCGTGCTACAACAAATGTCTTTACGAAAATTTCGCTATCTTCCTTAGATTCCGAGATATTGATTGAAAACTGGTCAATAATCAAAATTGACTCATCTCCTTTTATCACTTCGTTACTGATTTCATTTTAAAAAACGCGCAGTAAAGCTGCGAAATTTTTCAATAGAGTAGGCTACATTGTTTAAAGTAGTGAGTTGGTAATCTGAAGGTTGTGGGTTCGAATCCCCTCATGGGCATTGCTCTTGGTTTCATTACTGTTTCTTTCAATAAAATATTCTGGTTTACGCCTTCTCTCCAGAAAAATTCTACCTTGGGATCACGGGCTAGAAAATCTGGGACCATTGGTTTGTTGACAATCAACCAGTTTGGCACCAGATTCTGGTCTTTTCCGATTTTAATCATGTCCAGTTCGTCCTGCAATCGCTCTAAGGTAGCGTCGTCGTGTCCGCCGTGGACCTTGGTCACTGTGACCCATTTATCCCGGGTTTTGTCGTGGCAACCCATGAGGAAAATCGACATCATTCCACCTTTGTTGCCGGTGCCGTACCAAGCGCCAAGCACGACGAGATCTGCGCTATCGGCCATTGCTCCGTTGAACAAGTAGTCCTTCTTTACCTTTAACCAGTGGCGTTTTCCGGGCTCGTAGGTACTCTGATACCAACAATAATGTTTAGGATTGATATGAGGGTCTCGACATTTCAATGATTGAGGCAGCACTTGTGTTAATATCAATTTCGAATGATGAAAAATGTTAAAGTCATAAAAATGTATAATTTTTTTCACGACGAGTGGAAGAATCAGGAGCAGATTTAAATACAAGGTCGTGGCGTAGTTTATGAATATTCATTATATTAATCGTCAATGAATTTTCCTTAATTTTTCTCGTGTAATTCAATGAATTAATCTGTTCATTAAAGATAAAAGCTACTTAGATGTCTTTAGTTTAAGTAATTTTTGAGACTTGAGTCAAGGAACTTTTTCCTTCGTGAGACGATTGATGAATGAAGACTACTCACATCCACGTCTTTCAGTACCAAACCCTCTAGTCCGATCTTAAGAACCTTCGCTATCATCCCCGCGAGATCATTTGAATCCTAAAAGTCACAGAAATCAGGAATCATTTAATATTAAGATCTCTGAGTGAGAACAACTCACAGTAACTTCTTCGACTTCCGAAAGCATCACGCGGTTCGGAATAACAGTCATCCGTTTGTTCAGTATTTCTCGTCTTTCTCGCATTGTCCTGAAGAAAAAATTAATCAGAATATCCGCATTTAATCACAACACATTAAACCACATTTCATTGTAAATGAGCATCAACCTACTTATTCATCAGTACATCACCGTTATAATACATGCAATCGAAGATGAAGATACAGACCTGCGCGTCTTGGAACTGAGCTTTCTGAAATATTAAGAATCCGAGACAATGAACATGAAAAAAATCACCTAAAATAATTCTTACAGACCTTATGAACCCCTAGAGTGCCAAACGGCAGCGGCTGGCCTGTCTTCATATCAATTAAAAGTATTTCGCTATCTAAAATCAGATCATCACCGTCTGGAAACGCTTTTGGAATGTAATCCTGAAAGTGGCTGACCTAAAACCCAGAATTTCAACATTGCAAGAGCATCAAAGTAAATTATGATCTCTATTTCACATATATGAGTAGATTTATTGCAACATTTCGGGTTCGTCTGAAATGTTTGAGTAAATACTATTGTATTTGGGAATTCCACATGGTACGCATTATCGAATATGTTGATCCGTGGACGTGTTGTGCTACCTTCAAAACACTTGACGTCTTTTGATACAGAAATCATGGAATAGGAGGTTAGTCATCGATGGATGATGCGATCTCTCCAAACCTCTGAATGACGCGACGAGTGACGAATATACTGCGGAATTAGTGGAGTGCGCAGAATCTAGAACATTCTACATCAAAATAATGCAGCGCGAGCTGAGGAAAAAAACAGCGAAAAATTGGCAGAAAAATGCGGGCAATAATTGCCGAACGATGTTCATGGATTTTACTCTTCGGTTGTGAGAAATTAAGTTACCAAAGCGAGAATTTACACTTTGCCTCACATTTTTCCCTGGATTTCGTATAAAAATTCCTATAAGTGTGTTCTGTTCTCCCATTAATTAGATTGTACAGTGATTTTTTGTTTGAACTTTCTTCTCCACGTGGTAATCACGAATCACGAATTTGCGATAGTCCGCAAATTGCTCGATCATCGAACTAATTTCACCCTTTATCGAAGAAACTCGGACGTTAGGTCAGATCTACGTATAATCCGGGTATACTGCAGCACGTATGGAGGAAATATCTTCAGGAATGACATCAGAAGATAGCGAATCGAGGAGATAGAGCGAAGTGAAAGGCCAGCGTTACTGGTACTTTCGTCATCGCGTGAATTATGATTTGAGGAAATAAAATTTCAATATCTGTGGGGGGCAAGAGCCGATTTTAATCATTATCGTGTGTTTTAAAAATATCAGTGGAAAAAATTCTGCTGAAAATTTCAACAAAGTCCGACGAAAAGTCACTTCAAAGCGATATTTTGTGAACTTTGTCTATTTCATGCAATGAATTCCAAGGTAGGTCTCAAGTCTTACCTTGTGAGGCACCACAGGTTTGAGAGCACGACTGAAATATCTGAATTCGTGCCCCTGTTTGTGAATTTGAACCCTTTCACCGTCATATTTAACCTCAGCCAACATGCCATTCGGGCACTTTTTCATCGCCATCTCGACTGATGTGCAAGCTTCCGCCTGTTAATGTTTAATCTCATGATAAAGTTACGCACGAAAAATTTCATAGAAAAAGCTAGCGAATGCGATAGAATATTCTCTGGAAATTATCTTGAAAAATTCCGTGAGTTTTTTAGAATTTCAAGAATCAAGGAGAAAAATTAAAAAAATTTGAATCAAGGAATTTCTGTAGAAAATATCTGTATTGATTAAATGGTATAAAAAATATATTTCTATTGATATTTTCTGTAGAATACTTTCTATTGAACATTTTTTTAAACGCGCAAATCCCGAGTGGAAATTCACATCGGGCTGGAGTCCGAAACTGATCCATAAAAACTGAACAAGGTCAGTTTTTGACAAGACCTTGTAACGCTGTTGAGGAGCCAAATCTCATCCGAATTTGCGGATCCGAACTGTCCGACCGATCAGAATACGATCAAGAAAGACTAAGTCCCGACGGATCCAGATAGTTTCGTCAGTAACTGGGTGAATACTTATCGGAAACGCCTGATCAGAAAAGGCGGATCTCTACCGGATTTCTGTCTTACTTCTGATCAGCCAACCTGATCAAAATTTCCACTCGGGATGAGAAAAGAAAAGAAATTCAATAGAATTTCCAAGAGAATTCGTTAGACTTTTCTACAGAATTTTTTCGCAGATGTATTGACATAGTAGACCTACCAGCATGGGTAGAACGGGAGTCATCAATGACAGAACAATCTTCCCTTTCAAGGGCAAGGAAGAGGCGCCGGAAGTGCCCGCTACGGCTTCTGGATCCTTTCGTGTGAAACGTGTCACCACCGCCTCTAGATTATTGGATACTTGATAAGCTCGATAAGCGTCGGCGTCGATGGCTTCAAGACTAAAAACGTAAATAATCACGCAAAGCGATTTAAGGATTTTCCGGTGAATATCTTAGAATCTAAAGAAAATAGCAACTTTTTCCTGCAAAACTTCCTTCACATCCATGAAAAACGTTGCCATAAAAAATACTTTAGTCCCCTTGAACCTCAAAATACCCAACGAACCCTGAAATTATGGAAATTGTGATGCTCTTACATGTGCTTTGGACCGCAATTTATCCGCAGGTCATGCTTAATCAGTCGTATTATCATCTTAAGATCATTTGGAGTACATCTGGAAATTAAAAAATATTTTCGGTGAGCGCATTCCTGACAACAGCTGAATTTGGTCTTTAGGATGAAGTTTACCTGTCTATAATAGACTTGAAATGTAACACTTGGTCGTCTTCTCTCGTCATCTTCGCAAACTGCTCCAGAAATTCATTCACCTGCGGACGACACGAGAGAAGTGAATACATAAAAACTTTGGAATAACAATTTCCCCGCCTAATTTTCCGATTGCTCTCCCAAGATTTCTTCAACGCAAAAGGAAAAATGCACATTCATTCGATTTTCTTCTACAATTTTTTGACATTGAGACATCTGTAATAGATTCACAGAATTCTCCAGTGCGAGCGCCAAGATTTTCTGTATAATCACATATCTATCTAGCCGTTCGTTATTATTACAAATACAATGAGAGCTTTTCCCGCGGGGATGTGGATCGAAAAATATTCTCCCAACAGACGAATCAAGAAAAAAAAGGAGAAAGCGTTCCAGAGATAGCTTCCTATCTCCTAAATGCTGAAGTGTTATATCGGCCTTCATCGCTCGAGTCATCAGGTACACGCTCGACCCCTTAATCCACCTATTAAATTGCCCGGGGTTATCGTTTTCTTCCGACCCACGCAGCCATCGGCTTCGGAAAACTTCATCTTTTACTGGTTACATCGGAGAATTCTGATTTATCTTGACGAGGAGCGCAGGATGAACAGAACTTGCATGAATTTTAAATGAGAATATGAAAAATGCAGTGAAATAATTTAGAAAATTTATACTAGAAAATATTTTCATAAAATAAATTTGATAACACATAAATTTAATTCAATTTAATGAATGAATGAATTAATTAATTAATCAATTAATTTTCAGTTAATTTAATTGAGGTTAAATTAAAAATATATATTTTGGAAAGAGAAAGACTTTTAATAGAATAAATTTGACAAAACATTAATTTAATTTGATGAATGAATGAATTAATGAATTAATCAATTAGCTTTCAATTAAGTTAATTGAGGTTAAATTAAAAAAATTTATTTTGAATGAATTTTTGTTTAATTTAAATCACGAAAAAAAATTGAAACCTCTTGCAGTGTGAGGAGACTCTTTGTGCCCCTCCGGATAGCTGTGCTGCTTCCGAAAAATGTTGATATTGTTTCTGCAACGTCTCCTTGCTCCAGATCCTCCAGCATGGCTTCCTCATCCTGACGTAGGATGCGAGAAAAAAGCTTGATGAGCTGTTTACTCTGGAGATTGTAAATACGTCTACCTGCCATGGGTAGGAGCATCCTGCACCACAGTACAATGTCTCCTTTGAAGCCACCTTCATGAATATGTAATTATCAATTGTAATTATTTCTGAATTAGTTCCGCTTCTTCATCCAGAAATTCATCAGTCTTTGTTATTTTTTCATTTATAAAGTACAGTAATTGATTGATAATCAATATATTTTATGAAATAATTATATTAAACAATTATATTTATGGTATGCGGCATTTTAATTTATCTATCAAATCTTCATTTCATTTTATTCAATTTATTTCATTGAATTTAATTATTTTATTGAATGAAGCGGAATAAAATAATTGGGTCTGACCTCTATTTGTATAGATTACGAATGAATAGTCTGGGGTAATATGATCTATTGTAAAATGGTCAGCATAATATTATTCCATCCCCGATGAATTGTTTTTCAACAAAATAATCAATTGTAATTGTTTCTAAATTCGATTTGTTTCGCTTTTTCATTTAAAAATTCATCAATTTTTAATCCATTTATATTTTTTTAAACATAATAATGGATTAATAATCATTATATTTTGTTTTAAAAAATTGAAAAATTAAACTAAAATTAAACAATTAAAAATAATAATAATAATTTAAATGATTAAATTAAAATTAAATTTAATCTTTTAAATAGTTAAATGATAATAATTATTATTCAATTATTTAATTGAATAAAACAGAATAAAATAATTAGGCCTGACCTCTACACAAATAGATAACGAATGAATATTCTGCTGTAAGATGATTTATTATCAAATGGTCAGCACGTTATCATGATATCTCCGAAGAATTGTTTTTGCAACAACATAATTCCGAGTCATTGCAACTCATCGTACACCCCCACCCCGCAAATTTAGATTTTCCAGTGAATCCCCACTCTCGTGACACACCAACGAGTCGTATGAAAAACTAAACTATCTCGAGTACGCGTGTTTTGTTGAATATAATTTTGCATTCCAGTGAGTACACAAAGTGCGAAAGGTCGTGTTGGGTATATCGTTGCGGAAAGTTACGGAGCCGATAAGTCGAAAAACGATGATAATAACGCACTGGTGGTTTATATTCAATAAACTAGATCGGCGAATATTTGTCATCCCCCGGCGGGGATATTTTTCCACTAACTCATGGTCGCGGTTTGTGGGCTATAGCTTGTTGTTCGTCACGTGAAAATCGGCGAGATGATAACCCAGCGAGTGTTTGCGGTTGCGAGTCAATTGTTGAGTTGACGGAACAGAATTTGTTGTTGGGATTTTATGATGATTTGGATTGAGATTTTATTTTTTTACATTTTTTTGTTAGAATGTTTTGCAATCGTATGCTAGTATTTATACTTGGGAATGAAAATTTTACTCAAGTCACATGACGAATATTAAAAAAATAGCGAGCTTATTTTTTTGAAGATTTATAAAATAATGTTAAAGTTGGAATTCATAAAAACTGTTAAATTGTTTATAAAAAATTGAAGAACAATCAATTTTGCGCATTAAACTGCATTTTTTCGAAATCTAATTCACAATTTTGCAAGAAATTGATTTTATAAAATAAATAATGCGTTTGCGGATTCAAACATTTTTTTATTTATAAAAAAATGATTGAAACAAGATTATTTTTCCATTTTAATTCTCATGTCAGCCTTAAGAAAAAAAATCTTCCATTCGGAAGCAAAAAAAAATGAGAAAATTAGAAAAATGATTGAAAAATAGAAATAAAAAAAAATCATTTGTCAATATTTTCGTCTTCGCATCAACATTAACTGCCATAACCTTCAGCAACCCAAGCTATTGCGATCGGGTCACTAACATTCACCTCGTTTATACCTCCCTATCTCCCGCAGACAATTGTTTATGAGTAACCCATTGGTACGGATTAGAATGCCATCGTGCATTTGTTAAACCCTCGAATTAATGACTCGAGCGTGAGTAAAAAAAATGTATCAATGGAAATGACACATACCAAACACGTGGATGGAAACTGAATTGATTATTAATCAGCGGTCAAAGTTTACGGATTATGAGGTTGTTCCATTCGTAATAATCACAAATGTTTCCATGGAAGTTTTTTCGATTTTTTCCATCATAAATTCATCGTTATTGAAGGAAACACCTATGTGCTCCCATTGTTCATGAACAGATGAGACAATTCTATGGAAAATCGCTCTATAACTCTCAAAATTTAATTTATTGCTCCCGATTTTCTTATTCAAAAAGTTTTTCATTTCCTGACGCAATGTTTAATAAATAACATAATTATTTTTTGCTTCACAATTATTGTAATTTCATTTATTTCTCCTCATCTTTTTATTCAAAATATTTTCCGTTCCGTAACATAATTTTTTCAATTAAATTTTTAAATGTAAAAAAAAAATGAAAACAGGCAGGGATTCGACCCTTTTTGGCCGAAGCCATCTGACCGTTACTTTATGTGTTATAACTCTTTTTCTTTCTTTCATTTCTACCAATTCCATTGGTAGTAAGCTTTCGAATGGGATAGAAGGCATTCGGATAGAAGGCATCGAAACAAATATTTTGAAAAAAAAAAAATTGAAATCGGTTGAATAGCTTCGAAGATATTAGCGAAAAACGATTTAAAAATGAATAGCTTTTTCTCAAAAACTATTTGATCAATCGGGCTGAACTTTTGCACAGAGTTAGTCCTTATTATGGTCTATAATCTGACAAAATTTTAGATTTTTTGGAATAAGTTTAGCTAATTAATTACTCAATTTTCCAAAAATTGACCACCGGAAAGGTGGCGATGGACATTGACACCGACAGATATGGTCGTCAAACTTCGTATTTTTACGTTTCAGACCATTCTACATAATTTCCAATCAAAATTAGAGGATGTGAAAACAGCACGATTACAATGCTCCCATTCGGAAACAAAAATTGAAGAAAAATTTGATTTTTTAAAGAAATTTCTATGACAAAAATCTGGGATTTTATTCTGTAAAATTGACAGAACATTCCAACAAAAGTACTGGAATCATCCATTGGACTTTTCCATGCAATGGGCCTGCAATCAAATTTAATCGGTCAAAGTCCCGAGCGGGAAAACAAAAACACGAATATATTTTTCGCGGGAACTATTTTCTTGTGTACTCACTCGAGAGGAAAATTTATTAATTGCGAGTGGAAAAAAACACTCTTTCTCAGTGACTTCCACCGTAATGTAAACAATGTTGCACTATTATCATCGCATTACTCTTTTTCACGAATAATCGTTTCTTTTCTGCCAGCTCTTCCTGTCGGCTGCTTTCTGTTCTGTTCAGAGAGTTGATGAAACGTTCAATTGACTATGAAATATGACGAGAAACGCAGTGATACTGGGGAATTATTATTAGTGAAGCAGATTTGTAATGAGAGGTTTGACATTTAAAAATGCATCATTAAAAAATATAAGTTGTGAATTTTTCGGTTTTTCTCATTGAAGGACTCTTCAATATTTGTAGTTAAACATCAGGGGTTCAATTCAAACTATAGATCATTAAACATTTAGCAATAATTTTGTTAATTATTTTAACATTGAAGATCTAGATTCGATTCGTAATTTTAAATCGTTATGAACTATTTTTCGAATATTATAAAACTGGAAATTCTCATTTTGGAGAAAAAAATCATAAAATATTTAAAAAATTATATGAATAATTCATAAACAATTAATTTCTCATCCTGGAAATAAATTTGTCCTATAAAAAATAAAGTTCCTGAAGTTCAAACTGCTTTTATTACTTATTTATGAGAAAGGAACGGCCAAAATAATTATTTCTTATTGTTGGATAAAATGTAAAGACCATAACATCATTATTGTTACTAAAATTATCATTTAATTCAAATTTAATTGAAGAATAACTCAAAATTATTTGTCATCCGTGAATTGTCCTTGAAAATCCGTATCAACCCCCCAAAATACCCAGCAATCGCCACGCGCGAGAGTTCATCCTCTGATAATCCATCGGTCGAGGAAATAAATTTCCGAAATTAAACGATGACATTTACCGACAATAAGACCTTTGGCATTTAGGATTTTTCTCATTGAAATCCCCTTCAATATTCGACCCTAGATTACTGAACATGTATTTTTAGCAATTAGCAATAAGTTCAAAATACTTTCATTATTTATTCATAGAAAAGGAACGTTCAAGATAAATTTTCTTCTCTCATATATTTTTAATAAAATGTAAATACCGTTATTATAATTAAAATTATCATTCAATTTAAGCTCGACTGATAAATAATAATTCTAAATCATGCATCATCCCTGTATTGTCCTTGAAAATCCTTATCAACCCCCAAAAATACGCCACAATCGCCACGTCCAAAAGTTCATCCTCTGATAATCCATCGCTCGAGAAAATAAATTTCCAAAATTAAACGATGACACTCTCCAATAAGAAGAATTTAACATTTTGAATTTTCCTCATTGAAATTATTAAACATTTAGCAATAATTTTATTAATTAAAAATTAAAAATCTAGATTTAATTCTTAAAATCGTTACAAACCATTCCCATCTTCAAAATGTGATCAAAAATCAATTTCATGAAAAAAATAAAGTTCCTGAAGTTCAAACTCCTTTTATAATTGTATATTTTGTATTATATTAGAATATTATATTTATTATATATAATAAATAATAAAATAAATAATAATAGTATGTTTATATATATTTTATATTATATTGTATGATATTATATTATATACATATAATATTATAATATAATACATTCTGAATTATATTATATATATCATATAGATTCATCCAAAAGCAATATTCAAAATAAATATTTTTTATTGCATATAATTTAAATAAAATGTAAACACCATAAACTCATGTGTCATCCCTGCATTGAAATCCTTATCAACCCCCAAAAATACTCAATAATCGCCACGCGCGGTAGTTCATCCTCTGATAATCCATCGCTCGAGGAAATAAATTTCCAAAATTAAGCGGTGACACTCATCACATCGGTATCAAGCATCCCAGAATGCTATAACAATTTTTACATAACGCGCGAGATATCCGGCGAGAATCAGGGACAATGCGCTGCGTAATTCTCAAAAGACAAATGTCGGGACAAGAGAGAGGATAGACTTGTGTACATAATGCAGGCGCGATGGTCACAGCGACAGAGATAAGGAGCGAAGTTTCTCGCGTGTGCGCCGCAAGTCGTTTCACACCCGACGATAATTCAACAGACTGCGTGGCATCCGCGATGTACCCCCCATTCTCCACCCCCCGGGCAGTTATTTCCACCGACAAGTGGGTAATGTATATCGAAACACGTTTTACGATGGACATGTGGGCTTTCCTCGATGTTTCACCTCCCGATGCATTTTAGATCCTCTGAATAAAACGGGGTTTTTGTTTTTTTCCTCCTCGATTTATTCAGCATTACTGCATTGTAGCGCAATGATTTTATTCGATTGAGGGAGGGAGTCGGGGAAAAAATGCGGTTTGCATGTCAAAAAGATCGAGGGTTGAGAGGTCATCGCGACAAGTTATTCTGCAATTTCCATGGAATTTAGGATGACAGTCTATTCAGTAGATCATTTTGTGGGTACGTTGGGGAGAGGAGTAATTGCTGGTGAGCGAATAAATGGGAACGACTGGGGAGTTTTCCCAGGGCTGACTGAACAGGTTCGTAGAGAGGGCGAAGGTAAGGAAAACAATGTAGATCGAGTGAAAACAGGGAGGTTTAGGTCTTTATGGGCCGATGGTTCCGTTAAACATATCTCAAATTCAGTTAATTATGCAGGAAAAATTTTTTGTTTGAGATTTTCTCATGTAAGATAATTTGGAATAATTCTGAAGGTTAATGGAGTGTTGATGGAGTTTATTCAATGTCAGATGTGGTATAATCATCTATTAATTAAATGTAATTATAGAATTTTGGAATGGACCACTTAAACAAATAAATTGTTTTCCAAAGAAAATAATTCCTTGGCAAAAGTAATTTTTTTTAGAAAGTTGAAGATGATGTAGACAGCATCATTCTTCTATTTTATTTATATCAAGAAATTTCAGAAGAAATCTCGCACAATTGATTAGAAAAAAAATGTAATTTAGTTTAACAAAATAATATAAAACGATAAATTATATATAATAGAAGAAAATTATGTGAAAAATCATAAATCAATCAAAATCATAAAATTGTCAAATTGTTGGCAAAATTTTAATTATTAAACGAAAACTTTTTGCAATAAAAGATTTCTAATTCACGGGATCACGGAATGGCGAATAAAATTGAGTGAATCATGCAGCTTCCGTATTCTAATCAGAAAACTTGACGAAATCATGCGCGAGTATCGCATCATGTGGAAATATTTCCGTGCTTCTCGGCACGTATCTAAACTTGATCGTACGCAGGTCGTTGACTCCCAAGTCAAGGTTTAATGCCCACGAAGAGAAAACTACGATTTATTTTTCTATTCTCGTGGATATCTGAGGGATAACGCATGTGGTGATGGCTTCATTGAGATGCATTCGACTGCAATGGCGAGTAATAAATAAGGAAATTCATCCGCAGAAAATTATTCAATTTGAATAATTTATTTTGAAGATTGAATTGAATTGACATTTTATTGAATTTATTCTTCGGCTAAAATTTTTCAATTTTTTTGTAGACTTTTTTAGAGCGAAAGGGGAGGAAAATGGAGTGAATTAAACTTATAAAATTCATGTTGAGACATTCTTGTAGAAAATTTTGCTTGGAAAAACGAAATTCTACTGATTTTTGTCTGTTGAATAGTTTTTATTCAATATTAAAAAAAAAAACATGCAGTAGAGCTGAGTAATTGTTTAACAGAAGCAGCCAAAAACCCAGAATTTTCAGCAGAAACTCAATATAAATTTTAAAAAATTGATTACGGGTTTATGTACATGTAAACTTGAAATTTAAAATAATTTGTTCAATTTTCTGTTGAATTTTTTGCATCAAAAGGGGAGAAAAATCGACTGAATAAAATTTTAAAAATTCATGTTGAAGAATTTCTGTAGAAAATGTTGTTTAGAAAAATGAAATTCTACTGATTTTTCTTGTAAAATAATTTTTATTCGACATTTGAAAAAAAAAAACGCGCAGTAGAGCTGTGCATTTTGTTAACAGAAATTCACTAGAAATTTAAAAAAATTGATTGTGTCTTCACGTGTAGGTAAAATCTAAAATTCAAAATAATTTGTTGAATTTTCTGTTGAATTTCGTACTCTCGCCCCAACCAACAATCATCCCAATGTTATTTGACAAATGATTTATCTCAGATTCGTTTCAAGAATTATTTTCATCTCTTCTCCCCTCACTGACAACAAAAATAGTGGGAAGCTCCCCTGACCAAGGTTCCTACGTGTTCCAAGTAACAAACATTCAAAGAAATACTAATAGTGGCGACCAATCTCATTGAGCTTGATCCGGCCTTACGCAATCATCCCAGATATTCTAATCGGAAGAGTTTTTTTTCCTCGAAGATGCGCAAGTCCTCGTGTCTGAATTTCAACGATCTCCTCTTTTTTCATTATCATCGCCCGAAACATTTGGCATTGCATCATGCGAGCGGATGTTAAGAAAGTGGCGATAAATTTTTTTAGTGGACTGATTCAATATGTTTCACATCGTCTCGGCCGATGGAGTGGACGGGTGTGCTTGAAGGTCGATTACCATGTGCTGGGGCTACTCAATATGCAAGAAACTTGTCGTTTTACGAATAATTTGCATTGATGAGACGAAGAGAAATTGAAATATCTTGTTTTTATCATTAATGATTGAAGGAATTTGCGACGTCGCACTCAAAATTTGCAAAAATTATTATAAATATCAAATCAACGGATATGATTGAATTAATTTGAAGAATGACGCCCAACGATATCTTCCGGATTCTCGTGTTTTACAAATTTTACATTTTTGGAACAATGGAAAATTCTAAAAGTTAATATATTCAAATATCTTCCGGTGTTTGTTGGCATTTTTTTATTTCTTCAATTCCGGTTTTCCCAGCAGTATTTCTTCCCTGAGGTGTTCCCGCGCGGTCGCCCATCCATCTAGTGACCACACTCAGCGCTGCCCATTACCGCAGTGCGATAGCCCCGTACGGCCGATTAATTCATTAATTGAATTTTAATTATCACGAGTAGGGTTGCGCGATTTCCGACCTTCCATTCAAAATAAAAAAAAGCTCAAATTCCCCAGGAACATGATCTTCAAAAATCATTGGAGTTGAAAAGTTCTATTTTTTATAATTCATAATTGAATGAATTAAAAATATTATAATTGAAGAAACCGTCGGAAAATTTAAAAAAATTCCAAATTTATAAAAATCGTTACAAAAATCAAATCAACGGGTACAGGTATCGTGACAAATATTTTGAGCTACAATTAAATTAATTTGTAGCATGATATCGAAAACACCTCCGGAATTCTCATTATTGAAGAATACAAAATTTTTGAAATATCCGAAAATTCTAAAAATTAATGTATGAATTAAATTTCAATTAATGTTAAACAAATAAACTTGCACGATTTCAAAGCTTCCACTCATTAAAAAAATCGATTTTTTATAATTAATAATTGCATAAATGTCAGAGAAATTTTATCAAAATTCTAAATTAGCAAAAATCACGATAAAAATAAAATCAACGGATACAGCAATCGCGATAAATATTTTAACCTATTGAATTATTTGAAAAGCCTAAAAATTAATACATAAATAAAATTAAATTACGAATAAAAAAATCTTCAATTCCCCAGGAGCAATTGCACGCAAAATTGCTGAAGGAAATTCGAGGAAATGCAAGTGGCCAGAAATGACGATGAAAATTACACGCAAACAAACGGCTGTTGCATCCTCTAATGAATGAAAAACCGAGTGGGAGGGATGACTGTGGAAAATAGTGGTGAAGCAACAGATGGTGGTGGTGGGAATGATGGTGCCAAGCTGGCTGAACAATATATTACACACAAGGGGCTCGTCGCGGTCGACTGGGAACGATGTATTTCGACGCGGTTGTGGTGGGAGGTGGGGACACCGAGCTTATAAGTCAACGCGATTCGAGTTGATGGGCCAATACTCGTAAAACAGTTAATATAGTGGAACTTGCAATTAAATACCGTATGCATTGTTTTCGCGGATTGGAGTGTTGCATCGAGATTGAATGCAAAGGGCATTGGAATGTATTCGTGGGGATGACTTTGTGGTGAATTTCGAAAGAGTTTTTGATTATTTATACTGCGGAGGACTGGACTGGAATACATTTTTGGGGAGGGAGTGCCGGAGGGATTTGGAAAGATTATATTTATTTGAGAGGAGAAAATCATTCAGAGGAGAACATTCAGTGAAGTTTTAACGAAAGGTGAGTTCATTTCAATTTCTTGATTTTTTCGGTTCAAAAAGTTTTACTGTTTTTTTTTCAGAAAATAATTTTTATTGGGCATTTTCTATTTAGAAAAATGCACAGTGAAGCTGCGGAATTATTCAAAAGAAGAATTCTGGAGTTTTCAAACAAATTAATGACAATTAATTTGTTTGAAAATTAATGAAAATTGCAAAATTGCAAAATTTTTTTGTTTCAATCTGAATTATTAAATAGGAGATTTCGAGTAAAAATTGGATGAGAAATGAATTTATTTAAATGAATATTCAACTGAAAATATAAAAACTTTAAATATTCAAATGAAAGGGACTAATTGTAAAATGGAAAAAATTAAATTTCAATTAAACGAGAATAATTTTATCATGTACTCACTCCCATCGGCGCCCTTCTTCCACATTTTTCTGACAACGGCTGTTTTATCGGTGTACGCGGGAACGTTCGCAATGTCCGCGCAGATCCTCCGGAATTCGCGAAAGGAATTGTCTCGATTGGAAGATGTGGATTTTTCATTTGAAGGCGTGAGTTTAGCGCTGGGTTTGGGAGCTGTAGTCTCTTTAGTCGGAGTTTTCTTCGTGATCTTCTTTGGCGGCTCCGCTTGACTCGGACTTGCATGGCGTTTCGCCTTGAATGGAACTGCAATCATAAGAGATATCGAAGGTTGAATGAAAGAATACATTGAATTTACATGGCGATGTGTGGAAAATTTTTATTAAATGCTTAAATTGTTTTTTACTTTCAATTTGAGATTTTTTTTTCAGGGGAAAATTGAGAGGTGAATTTTTTTATCTACTTTTTTAAATTATAAATTATAAATTATAAATCGAGGCTATTGTTTTAAAATTATCCCATTCCCATCAGAAATCAGTAATAAACAAACATAAATTTAAAAAATTATTCACACGGGATATAATATTTATTGAGATTACATTTCCCAGTAAATATGTAATAGAAAAAAGTCAATTAAGTAATTAAGTCTTTTGATTTCCAAATTTTTTGCTATACAAAATTCTCAAACATAAATTTTCAATTCACATTTTTCATTTCTCATCCTAAAACCCACGAAAAAAAAATCGCGATGGAATGAGAGTAAAATCAAACAGCAAAAAAAAAAAAATTTCATAATAAATTTGTTTCCGCGTGATAAAATATGTACTGGGATTACCATTGTCCTCGAACTCCTTAAGTTTCTCAGCTATTAAATTTTGATCATCATCCCCGAGTTCGTCCCACCCATCGATATCCTCAGCGGGATCTTCGATTCTCTTCGTCGTCGCCCGCTGCTTGGCGAAAACATCGAAAATGCAGTCGACATGATGCCAGGCCTTCATTTTGCCATCCCCGAAGGGATTAGCCATGAGTTTAGCGATCCTCACAGCATCTTTATCAATCGGGCACTTGCATTTCTTGCATTTTGCGCGGCCCGTTTTAGCCCGCTCCACTGCGAACGGCTTCTCGGACTCCACAGCATCCTCAGACATAATGTCTCATTCCTAGAAACGAAGGTTATCGATCAGATTTCTCGGAATGTTTTTAAAACAAACATGAACGCCTGCAATTTCCCGAACATTCGGCGAAGGTCATGCTGAGGTCGTGAACTGAAAATAAAGGAATAACGCTAGCTTTCTCTTTTCCACGGGGACAATCTATCGGAAGATGGCACATGTATCTCCATTAGCGCGATTATTACGAGTAATTACAACTCCTCAGTTATCGCACGCAGCCATTCAAGCGGTTTGTAAATTCTCGCGAAGCGATAAGCCTTGAGGCACTGCGTAAACAGGAGATTCGTTGAGACCAGCGGCAACTACAACCAATCGACAATCATTGAACTATGAACCTTCCCAGTATTGGAGAATATTGAGAGATGATACTCCTCCAGTCGTTGTCCATCAATCGCACAGCTCTCGCTTATCTTCACCTTGCGAAATCAGTAGCTTTTGGAAAATTTAAGAATGTCCAAGGACTTTGACTATTTTTTAAAAACTTCTGGCTATTTTTTTTTTATTTAGAAAGCTTAGTTTGGGGGAAGTTTGATGAAATAATTTAAAAATTGCAATTTTTGAAAATCGCGAGTATGTTCTGTAAATAATTTATAAACAATTAATTTTTTAGCGTAAAAGGCATTCGTTCGGAATCGTAATAATTTATTAATATTCAGTCATGTATTTATAAACAATGAATGTTTAATTAAATAATAATTCTGTGCAAAATGGAGCTTCAATGACGCTGAATGTTTGATTTTTTTCAAATTTTTCTCATATCAAAGTAATTTGGCTATTCTTTCTCTAGTAAAATGCTTTCCTACTTTGATAATCGAATATCAGGGCTTTCATTTGAGTCCCATTTGACCCTAAACTTCCAGACATTTTACTGAATTTGAACCGCAATATTGAATTGGTAGAAAACATTTTAAAAATCTGAAAAGAATGAAAAAGCTTACTTTTAGTGGTAATTTCATGAAATAATGAGAAATTTGTAATTTTTTAAACTTACGAGCATTTTCGATAAATAATTTATAAACAATTAATTTTCCACTACAAAAATCATTTGTTCGGAATCGTAACAAATTTATTCATATTCGGAATTTTACCAGAAATCGATGTCATGTCTAAAAAAATAAGGTTTCCGAAAATTTAAACAATTTCAATGATTTATTTATGAGCAAAGAATGTAATTTTAATGACGCTGAATATTCATGATTTTTTTTCAAATTGTTCTCACGCAATTTAATTGACGAATTTGATGACTGATTCAATTATCATAATTAAGAACTCAAAGAAGAACTATGCAAACATGTAATTTATATATAATATATATTTTTGTATTTATGCGACATCTTTTAGCAGAATAAATCGAATGGTTTGAATGCTCGGAATAAAAAAAAATTACGCAGCCCCTGCACTGTGCAAAAATTTCGATGAAATTTCGCGGAATTTCGTCATTCAGAATTTGAGATTGAGCGGAAAAGTCAATGAAAACTGTGACAATTGGCAGAAATCACGAAAGTTCACGCAACTTGGGCAATTCTCATCTTTCTACTCCTCAAAAATTCGGAACTCCGTTGAATTTTCAGCCGTAGCGCCCCGAGTGCAACGGGAGACTCGTGTCTGATCACATACGGAATGCATCACTTGAGCAAGGAGTAAGGTCGAGCATTAACCTCCCGCGGTTGCTCCTTCGGGTTCACAATTTCTTTTCATCTCCCCCTCATACCCAAAATGGAGTATATCCGGAGGAACAACGCATTTGAATAAAATACAATTGTCCATTAAAAATTTTTGTGTTCATTTCAAGATTTTTTTTTTAACGATGAATTATTGCGTGAATATTTATTAATCTACATTGTTAGAAATTTTTTGAAATTTAAAGATGCATTTGAATTTTTAAGATTCAGAACTTGAATTCAATTTCAGACTAAATAACTCATGGAATTCCTGATTAATCTCGGAAATTCAATAAAATTAAGTTTTTCATTATGTATGATCATTGAATTTGCAATGACAATTTGAATTTTCAAACTAATCGCGAAAATTAAGCAACAGATTGAAAATTCTGATGAAAATTTGCCTGAATTTTCATAATTTTTAGTCATTTTCATTGCCGTGTGAGCCTAAGAAATCAATTGAATATTCAAGACCATTGACTGATTTTGCAATAACAAGATCAATGGAAATTCCATGTAAATTATTTGTTGTTCAAAATTTCAAGAATTTTTAGTTGAAATTTCAAGAGTAATTTTCTAACAGTGCACCAAAAAAAAGTCTGAATCAGACCGAAAAATCGACCCGAATCAGACTGAAAAATCGACTTGAATCAGACCGAAAAATCGACTTGAATCAAACCGAAAAATTGACTTGAATCAGACCGAAAAATCGACTTGAATCAAACTGAAAAATCGACTTGAATCAAACCGAAAAATCGACTTGAATCAAACCGAAAAATTGACTAGAATCAAACCGAAAAATTGACTAGAATCAAGTCGCTATCTACTACGTGAAACAGACAGAATTTCGGCGTGAATCACTCCATTTTTCGGTTTGATTCAAACCGATTTTTCGGCTTGACTCAAACCGCTGTCTGCTGGACCCGTTTCTACTTGAAATGAATCACTTTTCGACTCATATCAGACCCGGAATTCGGATTGGCCTATTCCAAGTCACTGGATCTGAATCAAGCCGAAAATCGGTTAGAATCAAACTGACGTCGACTTGAATCAGTACTTTTTTTTACGTGTGTACTGATTCTTTCTATAAAATACTTTTTATTGGACATTTCCCGCTAAAAAATCGCAGACTGAAGTAGCGGGAATTTATTCAATTTCCAAAAGAAATTGAACGGAAATTCAACAGAATTCCGGATTTTTAAAGCAATTTTCTTCGTAAGTGAAATTAGAAAATCGCACAATTAATGAAAACGCATTAGAAGCTGAATGAGCGAATGAATGAGATGAGAATGAGTGAGTGTAGGTGGCTAGAATGGAACACCTCTCCTGCGCGGTGGCCACAGGTGGCTGGAGAGGGGTGAGCGCGTTAGAACAGGGGATATAATACAGGGCATCACTCGTCCTAGCTCTTCATTTCTCGAGCACTCATCTTCTTAATCGCAAAAGGACCGCGTCGTGTACTTTTCTAGTGCTGCGAGTGTGGCTGTTCCGTGTAATTCCCGCGGTTGTTTCGCGGTTGTTTCCTCGGTTCGCATTTTGGGACGGTAAGCAAGAGTTATTGCCTACCGGCGTTTTGCGTTGTTCTCTGGATAACAGGAGCGCAATTCCGATTTCAAGGTAGGATTTCTATGGTCACGGATGCTCGGGAGGTTTTGTTAATCGAGTGGATGAAGAATTTGTCTTGGTATTGAGTGATTTTTTGAAATGTTATGGAAAGTTCCAAAATAAAAATTGACGAGTTGTTCAATTAAGAACTTTTGTGGTTTAAACTGGGTTTTTTTGGGTGTACTGGTAGAAAAAAAATGGGATTTTTAGAATTCGATTTGACGCGGAAAAAGTGATGAAATTTCAGTGAAATTCCAAATTTTTTAATTTTTCAATTTTGTTTATTTTTAAAGTAAATTTATTAACATTTTTTTTTATTCAGAACATGAATATTCAGTGCCTAATTACCCTGAATTTTTATTGAATCAAGAGTTTGTGCAATTTTCCTAATTTTTCTAATGATAAAAATTCCGAAAACTGTTTCGTGGAATAATTGCACTGAAATTTACAGTTTTCATTGATTTTTCTTTCAAATTGTGGATTTTAAATGAGGGAATTCCTCGAAATTTCAGTGGAACTGTCATTTCATAAACATTTCTAACTCATCCCACGTCAATAATTTCTGTTTTTTTCAATATTTCAACAATTTTTCTTTAACTAATCGGAATTTCACTGACAATCTGAAACAGCGTAACAGAGAATTATGCCCAATTTCCACATTTAGTAATAAGTTGAAAGAATACGGAAAGCACGAAATGCGGAGAAATGAGAGAAATGTTCGTCGTGTTACGGAATTAATCGCTTGTATTTACTTTTGCGGAGAACCATCAGGCTTTCTTGCTTTCACTCTACGAAAAAAATGTAAAAGAGTAAAAAACACGAAACAGATTTTCATCAAGCAATTAAAAATTAGTTTGCACATGGGAGCTTTGCACACTGATAATTTTTTATTCAGTAATAGTCGATCGCGCATGAGAGGAATTGAAATAAAAACTGCTTAATTCTGCATCGCTTATGGAGTAATTTCAAATAAGGGTTAAAAATAGATTTTACGGAGTTAAAGAATTCAGATTTACCTCAACTACTGCAATTAATCCACCCACTTTGAGATTCAATTTTCACTTTATTCTATTTCACGAAAATTAATAAATTCAAATGCGCAAATCGGTTTTAAAAAATTGCCTAGACTCTTCCAACTGTGTTTCTAATTCATCAGACATTGAAAAAATCCGATACAAAATGGAAAATTGTCCTTCAGTCGCAGACAACAAATAAATTCCCACCAAAACCTGATAATTTGCGGACAAATGGATCATTTCGAATCAATTCCTTTTGTGAAAACAATATTCCTTTGTCGTCCATATCTTCAATCTTCATACAATCATATGGGGTTTCCTCACATCAAATGCGTGGGATGCATGAAATTACATACACCAAACGATGATTTCATCACTTCATTACACCATCACTTCACAAAAATGAATTAATGTTGACGTAAATAAAGATTTCATCGATAATTGAAATAGTTAAAATACGCAAAAGGTATTTGCGATATCAAAACTTGATATTCATTACTAAAAAGATTCAAGTAAAGGGTTTTTTCACACGAAATTTTGATTTGTGATATATATGCCATGAATATTCACTCATTTCCGCACTGATGTGATGAATGATAATCTCAATGAAGCTACGGCTGCGTGCGTAATATAACTGCCAAAGTATTCAAAACAATTATGACTGGGGGGTAAATAAATCCAGACTACGTGACCGACAAGTTTGATCCAAATAACGTTCTTAATCCTCCCAAAAATAGCTTGAAAAAGACGCATACACTGGGTTTCCCAAAATACATGAAAAATAATTCGCTTCAGATTCATTTTGCCCATTAATTTTTCTATTAAGAGGAATTGACCATCACACAGACTAGATGCTCCCTCCAATCACTTAGGCCCGGGCACCAATTTTCATTTTTCGTCCCCTCAATATGGATTAGGAGATAATCTCCCGAAGATCAGGGGAGATACATGAATTTGGATATGAGCACGTCATCACCCTGTCGATTGTAGCGTTTTTTTCTATCGTGGAGATGTTTCTTTTTCTAGAGCTCATGAAGCTGAGAGTTATAAAGAAGTTTTTTATTTAAATGTGATTAATTGAATTCTTCTATTTCTATCACTTTTAGTTTCTGTTGAAATTTTTAAAGATTATTTACTGCTAATTTATTTCATTCAATTTTTTAAGACGACCCTTTTCCGGGAATAACTCAGATAAATTTTCTACTCTGCAAGTATTTTTTTTAGAAATCTTGTAAAAAAATTTTTTTTCGTTAAAAAAAATTACAAACTGGCAAATTGCAAATTTTTTTTTATTCAACTATGATTAATTGAATTCTTTTGTTTTTATCACTTTTATTTTCTCGTAAAATTCGTTCAACTTTGTGACATTTTATTGTTCAAACATGAAAGGTCTTGTTAAAAAAAAATTACTATATTTTATAAAAACGGCCCTTTTTAGTAAAATTATTTATAGATACATTTTCTACTCTACAAATATATTTTTTTTTTATTCTTGAGAAAAATTGTGCTTAAAAAAAATTGCAAAATGTAATCAAAATGGAGTAGGAAGTAATCTTTGTTAATCGACGTTTTTTTTTATCGTGAAGATGTTTTTCTTGCAGAGCTCATGAAGCAGAAAATTATGAAGAGAAAGTGCACGAGTTATACATCGAGATTTTGGATACTTGCCCTTGTCTCACTCACGACGATACACAACGTTTGGACTGCACCTCAGCCACTATCTGCCATGTACTATTCTGATAATTCTGTGGAAGACAGTGAGAATCTTGTTAGTAGAATAAACAATCAATTTTTAATTCAAAATTCTTTTCAAAACTTCCAACATTTTATTATTTAAACATTAAAGCTCTTATGTTTTAAAAGATCACGTCCTTCTTCACGAATAATTTACAAAAAACTAAATTTTCACTGATTTATAATAAAATTACGTATTCATTGTCAACGTTAATTATTTGCAAAAAATATGTTGATAAAAAAAATAATGAAACATAAAAAAAAATATCAGGTAATTTCTTTGGAAATAAAAATAAAAATAATATATTTTCAATCGTGAAATAAAAAATGAACGAGTTTATTGCAAATTTATTCCCCCGAAATACTATAAACATCCTTATTATTAATTAATAATGATAATCAACTTTTGTATAAATCCATGAAAATTTGATTATCATCAGCTACTGCTGCAAAGGCTAAAGCAAGTTGCGGCCTTGAAACACGAGATTCTCGAGGAGGAACGTGAGTTGACGGAGGCAGAACTCGAAGTACAGGCGATTATCGAGGCGAAACTGAGGAACCAGAGGATCCTCCAACCCATCGAGAGTGAGTCCTCCAACGAGGAGGCGGAGATGTTGCCTATTCCCAGTGCGGTTGTGCATCATGCACCAGTGGGACACACCGGGAAACGGACTAGCTGTGAGTACATTAATTATTCCACTCTCTTCCTTTTTCGAGATGAAATACATGTATTAGTCAATCATTGAGCCCCATCTGCTCGAATGCTCCTGAGGCTTTCGTCAGGGCTTGATGATGAATATAATGATGATGGATCTTAATGAAGTGCGAAAAACTTAATGGGAATTTTCGGGGAATTTTTACAAATGTTTTTGTCTCGAGTTGTTTTAGGGGAAAATGAATATGAAAAACTTTGTGACAAAAGAATTGCATTTGCGGAGTTTTTACACGGAGAGAAATTTTCTAGAAATATTATAGTAAGAGTACTGGGAAAAATCATAATCCACCGACTGTGAATAATTCTAGTACTGTTAAGGTAAAATTTCTGGGGATTTTTGTGAAATTTTCACAGAAATACGGGGAAAAATTCACGCTTTCGCCAATAAAATCTCTAGCGCAGGCACGGGAATTTTTTCCCGGTCGTCACTTTGCATTTTTCGAAATCGATTTGGATTTTTATAAAATGGGGAGATACAGAGTCCCATGTGACCTCCATGACTCCGACGATCCTTATTCATCTTAATCTGACCCTTGCGACCCTTAATCTGGCCCTCGTGATTTTATTCTGACCCTCGTGACCTTATTCTGATCCTTATTTTAACCCCTTGACCCATGAGAACCTTAATCGAACCCTTGTGACCCTTCTTTTGATCCTCATTACAACTCTCGTTACCCGTATTCTGGCCCTCATTAGAACCCTTGTGAACCTTAGTTTCTGACCCTTTATTTCTGGCCCTTAATTTTGCAGTCTTAATTCCGAATACCAATTTTTTATCACCGGAAGTCGATGTGGATTTTTATGAAATGGAGAGACAGAGAGCCCCATGTGACCTCCATGACCCTTATTAATCTTAATCTGACCCTTGCGACCCTTAATCTGATCCTCGTGACCTTACTCTGACCCTTGTGAACCTACTCTGACCCTTCAACTGGCCCTTAATTTTGGAGTCTTAATTTGGAGTACCAAATTTTCATCACCAAAACTCGATTTGGATTTTTATAATATAGAGATAATATAATCATATAAAACAAAAATCCAAAACTTAAATTTGAACGATTGCAAAGTGCCCACTCGGAGAAAAAAACACCAGTTTTATTTCGCATTCATGAATCTCGATAACTTCAAATGAAAATGTGATAACAGTAAGTGACGAACGATCAATTGACAGAACAAAACTGTTTGATTAGAGCTTAGGGGCATGAGTACGCGTTTCATTTGCTCCGATGATGGGTAAAACGAGGAGATCTAGTGTAATTGAACCACTTGACTCAATACGATCATTCGAAGCGATGAAAATGGCATAAGGTCTCCTTACTAGCGCCATTTGACTCGCTCACGTCACAATGCGATGCGCCAAGATCTAACGCAATCGCGTGATGACAATTATGGTAATCGATTCTATATTACATTGTTAAAAGTCGGCGCCACGCACTGGTCTACTCAATTTCGTAAGGACTCGCCGGTGAAATTACGAAGCTGTTTTCATTCAATTGTGAAAAATACATTTTTAAGTTCAATTATTCGGAAGAAAACATTTTTTTGTTCATAAAAAAATTGATGAAATATGAGGAATATTTGATGACTTCCCTCAAAATGAAGAAGAAAATTTTCATTCGTCGCAATGAGAAATGAAAACACTTAATGCTAATTTGAAATTCTCCTTAATTTGAAATTAATGAAAATTAAATACACAAAGTTTAATTCCACTTTGATGAAGAATTGAATCTGCTACGTTGACCTCAATCGATAATTCTGTATTTTAATTATTTGGATCAAATATTTATTTCAATACGCAAACTGTAAGATATTTTATGAATCCTCTATTATTTAAATAATAAATTATTAAAAAATAAAAAATGAAATATGACAATTGCGACATGAAAAAATTAATGCAAATTTGAGATTGTCATTAATTTAAAATAAAAAATCACCAAACTTTAATGTAAAAGTTCAACACCAATTATTTTAATTAAAAAATAAATCTCATATCCTTGATCTCAATCGATAATTCTGGTATTTTTCCGTTACAGACATGGGCCTATGTCATTTTAAAATCTGCAACATGGGACGCAAACGGCAATTATGAACCGCCACGAACCAGCGATTCCAACTTCTTACTGGAGTTTTCAAACTGTCACCGCCTCAAACAAATATGTTTTTGTTCCATCGATCGCTAATGAAAATTTAATCTCCGAAATACTTCACCGTTACTGCTTTATTTTTGTACTGAAATAGTGTTGGTTATATAGTAGGGAGTGCGTGAACCGAGGCATGTTCACTTTTAGTATTTAACAGTATCTCGTCTTACTAGTTTATCCATTCACGTACAAAAAATTTTATAGCAAAACCTGGGGAATTCTGTAGGAAATTCTCCTAAATTTCTATTAAATTTTTTATTAGTTTTTGGGCAATTTTATTGAGGACTTCAGCAGCTTATCGGAAAATATTCTATAGAAATCAATAGAATTCGATTTTTATATGCAATTTATTCTATAGAAATATTTTCTATAGAAATTTCTTGGCTTAAATTTTATATTTTTTTATTTGATTTTTTTTTCAATTAAAAAAAAAATAAAGTGGAAAAAACTAAAAAAATTCATGTGTGTTTTTGAGGAATTTCTGTAGAAAACTCAATAGAAATAATTTCTATTAAAAAAAACACAATGAAGTCGCACCCAAAAACCGATAGAATTTTCAATAGAAATTCAATAGAATTTTCCGTCATTTCGCTAAATTTTTCTACGAAATTTTTTCTCGCGTGTTGTTGAACGCAAAATCGTATGATTACCCACCAATGAAGCAACTGTATTCGCCGGATATTTTGCATCGGTAAATAGCCCATCGACTCATCGAAATTTGACGTATTTATTTCATCAATAGATTTACATCAAAGGAAGGGTGCTAGGTACGAAAAAAGTGATAGTGGGCTGATTTCCAGTGTACAAACTCCTCAGTCAAGTTGAACAGACGAGAAATCGATAATAAACGCTAATTTACACTGAACAAACATCCCATTAAGTAAAAAAAACTTCATTAAAATAAATGAAATAAGAAAATTATTATCAAAGAAAAGGGCATTATCCTCACGCGTCTGAATGTGATAAAAAAAATCGTGTTGATGAGTGATAGACAGAGTGACCTGTACCCTTCGTTAATTTATTTATAATATTTTTCATCCTTAGTTTAACGTTAAATGTATAAATTCACTAGTTTAATTTTCTATTATTTATTAAAAAATTGCACCTCCTATTTGACGCATTGAATTTTTTTGTATAAAACGTATAAACGATTATCCAAAGGAAATTAATTAACTGCGGGTGTAATTAATCAATGTATTGTACCTGAAAATCTTCCTCATCGGCGTTATCTCCCGGAGAGAGCGCCAATCTTGCCATAAAATTCATTGAAAAAAAAGACTAATTATTGATATGAATTGACATATGTATAACGCATGTACCACGTACTCCTGCAGAAGAATGCATCAATAAATTGTGTATTCGAAACACTTTCCTCATTTTTTCGCACCACCACAGCACTCCGCGTTTGTCGCATTTCATTGATAATGAGTCCATTCACAGAGATGACGGATTATAACAATTCGAATACTTAAAATGTACATCTTGTCGTAATTGCAAACGACTGATAACGAATTACGTCACGACTATTCGTTATCGAACAGCCTTGATGGAATTACGAAATAATGTCAAAGGCGATATTGCGCATTATTCTTTTTTTTCGCTTTAAATTCCCATTCGGTGGGAGCGGATGTGCGCATAATTAAAGAGTTCAATGATGACTCGATTACTATTTCAAATTCGTTGACACGTTTTCTGATTTGTGCGGAGGGTCAGGCTGGCGCTATCTAGGAGTTTAAGGATGCACGGACGGGAGAAATTGATCGACTGATGGTCAGGGCGATTTCCTGATTACCAGCAGTCGGTATTTTTGACAGAAAGAGCGAGCGAGGGGTGGTCCACGTGACATAACCTCTCGCTAAAGGAAAATTTTAAATTTTGAAAATTGCGAAAAATTATGACTTACAATTATTGCTGTTTATTTCCGGCGACACACTGTCACTATTTCTTGACTGTCGATGGGAATGCGCGATTGTCGGCAATTAAATGTTGATGATGCACAAAAATTTCGAGCGCGCGAGCCGCGGTACGTCGAGTGGGGAAACTACTTGAGGGGTGAAAATGTGGTATGGAAGGTCATGCGAAAGTTTAGCTCTTTGGGGTCAGGGGGATTATTGAAGATATTCTTTCTGGGGGATGAGGAATAAGGGGGATTCATGTTATTTATTTATTCAAATGTTAGTTTAATGGGGGCATCCCACAGTGGTGCTATCTTCCTGATGAAGGAGCAACTATTTCGAGCTTTTTGAATTTTTAGATTTTCCGTCGGTACTACCCCTATGAAAAAAAATATTCTTTATAATTCAAGAGCTTTAAATGATTTTATCAATTAGTTCTTAAACATTAACTATTGTTTAAATTATCTCTTTAAATCATTTAGAGTTGTTTATAATTTTTTTAAATGTATCATAATGGAAATATATGCCGAAGTGAAGAATAAAACCGACGTCGGTGGCCGAGTGGATTAGACGCAAGTCTAGTGTGCGAAAGGTTGTGAGTTCGATTCCCTGTGGAACGTAAAAAAAAGAAAAATTGAAGAATAAACATGCTTCGGCGAATGTAAAAAAATGAATAAAAATTACAACCAAAAATAAAACGGATAAAATAGAACATTAAAATTAAAACAATTTAATTCAAATCATTTTCACGAGAAAATCCGCATGATAGTATATCGATTATCTGTGTTATTATTGCAGTAGCAATTGCAACGCATGTTTCCCTCGACACTGTGTTCGATACACCTCTGGGGGTTACAGAGTGCCGAGGCCTGAGAGCACTAAGCGGTCAGTCATTGGCAATCTGTTGCTTTTTGGGTGGGAGCGGGGTAATTCAATTGATCCTGCAAGCCCATGCACGTCTCCGTTTTCATTGGGTTGTATGCAGGAGTATTTCAGGACCAGAAAGGTTTTCCCGTTCACGTGGACGCGATTGAGAACGTGAGCTGTAATGCAAATCTGTTTTATTCATTAAAGTTTTATTCATGAATTATTTAAATTTTCGAGACAAGATATTTGTGAAAATATTTTTTTATTTTTTCCTATTCAGTTAGTTTTACTGTTATCGATTTAAAAGTGTCTCTCTTTTATTACAATTCAGTGTTAAGAATACCCTGCAAACGTTTCTTGATTTTAAATCTATTTTTAAAACCTTTTGGTTCGTATTTGAAACAAATTTGAACAATGCTGACGCACGAGGCCGGGCTGAAACCCGATTATTATCCACATCTTTGCTCTCGTGTACCTCAGCCACAGGTGATGCCACGAATTTAGTAATCTCACTGATATAGAACCCCCAGAATTTCACGTGTTCATGTGTACTTGGAGGATAATCCCCTTGGAATTAAAAAAAATGGACTGTTCATTTTTCTCTTTATTTTGTTCATTTTTAAACGATCTATTCTCAAAATATTAGCTTTAGTCATTATTTGTATTATTAATAAATTAATAAATAAATGTATTAATTTAAATTAATAAATTAGATAAATCATTCAACAAATTAAATGAAGAAATGGTTTAAATGAATAAATTAGACTTATTTATTCAATTTATTAATTTATTTAATTATTCATGTATTTAGTTGTTTTATTATATTAATTTTTGAATATTGCAACAATTCCTTGGATAAATTCAGTAGCGAAGCGGTAAACCGGGTTAAGTCGTTTTTTACTATTGGCTAGTTTTTGACGAATATCTCGGAATCTAAAAGAGATAGAAAGATTTTTGTCATGACCTTTTTTGTAGAGCCAATAGAGCGTTATAAAAAAAGTCATGAGAACAATTTTGCTATCTCTCTTAGATTCCGAGATATTCAGCAAAAACTGGGCAATAGTCAAAATCGACTTCACTCGGTTTACCGCTTCACTACTGAATTAACGTCTCCGATTTCTTCAATTGTTGACAAGACACGTAATTTTGTTAAATGCCTGCGGAATATTCAAGCCACGTTACAATGGCATGCTATGAAATGCTCCATCTTTAGTTTGGACTTGTTTGTAAATATGTATATATTAATTTTATGTGAATATTATGTAACATGATTTGACCCGATAATTGGCCTCGGCTGTTGGGTCTTGAATAAATAAATAACAATAACAATGACTATAATATAGGAATAATAAAGGCGACAACGCAAATCAATATTTCACAGAGAATTCCACATCCCACGGAAACAGGGATAGCAATATCCATAAATTATAATTACTGCTGAATTATTGAGTAGTCAATTAGCATCACTCTTTAATTTTAATTATTAATGTAATCATCGATTTAAACAGTCAAAGTTCGAATTATTCGGACGATTATTTGGATAATCGGAAATCTCTAAGAAATAAAAAAAATTAATTTTTAAGACAAGTTAAATCAACTTGTCTTAACTTGTCTTAAAGTTAACTAAGTTAAGTTTACGTTTATTAAGTTTTCATAAGAAATTTAATACTATCTACTTAATAGAAAATTTATAGTTCCATATTTTTAAATATTTATTCCCCATCAATTTGTAATTTAGATAATCAATTATTTTACTGTTTTTAAATTTCATGTAGTATATTCAACTAATTTAATTAACTTAATTTTTAATGAATTCGATTAAACCTTGATCAATGCACGTGGGAAATTCTTTTAATATTGACGAATCGCAAGATTGATGGTCATCCCTGCATGAAATAAGTATATTAATAAAAATTAATATTAAAAATATTCTCGTAATATTTCCACGGGTTTGTGACGGCTCCAACGACTCAATAGATCCCGTCACGCGTGATTTGTTTCAATATCAGAGCATTACGATGTTCGCACAGCTCGGGCGGGACATCCACACTTGAAATTGAATGATATGACGGACCATTAGCCCTGTTCACCGAATCGCTACACTCCACTCTGCTGGATTTATTCGTATTTAACATGTTCAACTGTTCGGAAGTGCAAGTGCATAGGCATAACGAGTGACGACTGGTTATTCGGACTACACTGTTAGAAATTTTTTGAAGTTTCATGGACAATATGACAGTAGTTCTCATGAGAGCGACGTTGAATCAGATTCTGAAAAAAAATAGTTTTACAATTTCAAGTTTTAGGTAGAACTCAAATAAATTCATGAGTTCTCAGAGGGAGTGAGATGGAGATTTCACAACTTCATTGAATTTTCAATAAAACGAATATTCAGAAACAGAATCACGTGAATTTTCCATTTTTCCCTGAATATTCTGGATTTTTTTGAATTTCATAAAATAATTTAACTGAAAAATCAAGTATTTTATTGATTATCAGATCATTTGAAAAATTAATGGAATAATATTTAATCCACTTTAAAAAAATCCAGTGTAACAATTTTTGAAGCGTTTGGTCCGCTCATCGAATAATATCATAATGATGTCTATGAATATTTTGTTATTTACTGTAATCGTTTGTTTACAGTAATTGTAAAAAAAGGCAAATTCTTTTCTTACTGTAATGAAAAAATATATATTTCTGTTGAAAATACATATATATTATATAATATATACATATATAATATAATATAATATAATATGTTTTGTACTGTAATTTTTTTAACAATAACAAAAATGTAATACAGTTCTGTACTTAAAAAAAAAAATATATATATATATATATATTGGATAGTGTATATGTAAATAGTACGTAAAAAGATGAAGAGGATTATGACGATTCCGAATAAATTATTCAACAATTAAATTCTCATTGTAAAAAAATTTGTTCAAACCATTCGTTTCTTCTGCATTATTATTGAAATAAAAATTAACGAAAGTGAGAAACCGTAAGGTTGTGCTAGTCTGGCGCTCATGGCCAACCTAGTTCCTGAAATTTCAGTGGAACTTCAACACGATAAAAATTTCCATAATTTGACACGGAAAATTCAGTTGAAAATTTTTATCAGTGTATTACCCGTCCTGTTGTATTTGAAAAACAATAATACGCCCATCACCTGCATTTTTCACTTCGAAATGGGAACGAAGTGAAGGTTTATTGTAAAACGGAACGTAACGAGCAATAGTGGCAGAAGAAAAAATAAAATAGCGACAAAAAAGCGTTTCACCACTTTGAGAAGCATTTTAGCACTTTCCCAGATGTTTGTAGCCCCACGTACCCCATCTCGAGCCGAATTATGTGGGAGAAAAAAAGGGCAGACGCATTGTTGGCGATATATTCAACCCATCGGGAGCTAAAAAACAACTGAGAATCGTATGAACCCACGTGAAAACCTCTCGCTAGTTTTATTTCTCAAGCTTTTTCCCGTCGATTCAACGCTATCACTCAACATCGAGTGCCTTTCAATGGGCTTATCTTGGGCAAACACTTGTCGCGGTGGATGAACGAGGTTTTTTGATACACTCGCGTACGTCAGTGGTTACTCATAATTTTTTTAAACCCTCCGTGATTAGATTCAACGACCTTTTATGCCTCGTGATTAGATTTTTCAGAAGCACTCGGGTAAAGTTGATAAAAGCAGACGGTTTTTCATGGGAAAAATCGATACAATTATTTATTCATTCTCTCCGTACTTCCAATTTTTTAAAATTATTTATTTCGATGCGTTAGTCTTATTTTCCCGGAAAAAATCGTTCGCGCAGCGCGATATTTGTTAAACTTCATCAAACGATTGTTGAATTTAAAAAATCAGTTGTTGCAATTCGAAAATTAATTTAAAATTTTGACAATTGTTAGAATATAATGAATAGTTGTTGAAATTTAACGAATATATGTTCCCCGTATTAAATAAAAGAAATGCCAGGGGTCGTGAAAGGTGCAGGTATCATAAATTTCCACTTTTGATTGTTGGGGTCATAACTACAACTTCCTTCCTTCAAATTCCTGGTAAATTCCCAGATCATGTTCGCGTGTCAGAGATTATTGTGGGCAAGTGTCGCAGGGAGTTGTTTGTGTGAGTGATCCGGGTGAAGAGCTCGGGTATTATGGGGTCGTGTACTAATGTTATTCCACCTAATTTGGTAGATTAGATGCGGATAGTGATGACCAGAGACATCTCATCAATCTTTAGTTTTAGAAAACATGTAATTTTTCGTGAAACAACTTGAATAGATTTTTTCTTATTGCTGGAGATGAGGTGAATTGTTTTCTTCGGACTCATTGCGATTGAGCGCACACTGATAGAATGATTCATTTATTCCAAACGAGATTCGTTAACTATTAACGAATGGTAGAGTGGAATATGACCAAATGAATATTCGTTAATAGTTAACGAATGGTTCACTTGAATGGGTCAAGTCAAAATCCATTCGTTAAACCTGGATAGACTGGTCACCATGCGAGGGAATTGCCGCATCACGTCGTTTTATTCACCTTGCCATCGACTGGTTGACCGGAAAAATTTGAGAAAAATTGAATTCGTCAATTGAAATACCTGAAAAATTCTAGTATTTTTTTTTTCAATGTTGTATCCTTAATTCTGGGAGAAAAAAAATTATTTCCAACAGATGAACAATTTTTTCCCGTGCTAAATGAAATTGCCTGTTGCGCGACGTTGCTGGGAACTCGCTAAACGCGCCGGGGAAGTGTAGAGTGGATTCGGCAACGCTGGAGCCTAAACAACACGGCGGCACTCTCCTGCGAAGGTGACTAATGTCGCATTTTCCCGTCAGGTGACCAGACTAGGGTTAACAATAACTAATCCGTTCTATCAGTATAAGCGACAGTCATATTTCAGAAACATCTGGAGGTTTTCCTCCGCCCGAATTCTGCATTCATTCAATACGAAAGTCCCTGATTCGCGATCCACTGGGTCGAAACCTTTAGTATTTGCAGTCATTTTCTCATCTCTTGACACAAATAAACGATTTCTTGAGCCAAGATATTCTCACTTCATCGTGAAGTCTTCATACTCAAGTCACGAACACTTCACGGAATTCGTGGATGGCCTGACTCATTCTACGGAATTCTTGTCCCAAGCGATTTGCCATCGAGAGATGATATATTTGCCCCGAGATATTAGCTATTTTCTTTTTATTGCGAGAGGGAAAATGTCATTGCCTACATGAAAGGCCAGGTGGGAGTGACTCGAGTGAAAAAGGGTCATGTACTTTAGGTAGATGGACTCGTACGTGAGATGATGTCGTGCTCCCTCGGTTTTTCCGCAACTCCCAGAATAGTAGTGGATTTCCTTGTCACAACCCCGGTCAGGCTTCTTCCGTTTGAACTCCAGCCGGGCGCGAGACCCTTTAGTCTCCGTTTCCTGTTCCCCGAAGACAAAATAATAATACGCGTAGTAGGAGATTCAATCCCCACCCCCAGCAATCCCACTTTTAACTAATCACGATTATTCAACCCTTTATCTTCAAAAATTATCCGAATAATGATGATTGCGGTACGCACCCACGCGTGCGTCATTAAAAATCGCTCAATGCGCGTGTTTACTTTTTAATTCTATAAATATGTTATACAGGGCAATTGAAACGTCATCATTGCAGACTCACATTACCCAGCAGACTGAGATTTCTCCAAGTGCCCGCAGAAATTGAAATTTAAATCATTGCAATTCTAAATCACAGCACGTAGAAATTTTTCACCGTTTATCTCGGGAATAATAAAATTGTCACGACCCCCGGGGTAATTCATTCCTTTAAATATTGCGGTGGACATTTTTTTCGAATTTATTCAATCGTCACGAGGAGTATTGCCGTTCACAGTGATCGATCGAGTTGTTATTCTATTGGAATTGATGATGAGGATAATATAATTGGGCGCGGAATGGGAATAAGAGGCTTGGATGCAGCTCAGTTGGCTTTATTTTCTTATTTATGCATTCCTCGTGTTGCTAAAGAGGGTTACAACGGAATATCGCTGGAGTTATTTATAATAATTGATTGAATATCAGTCGTTGTTGTTTTTTTTTATTTTTATTTTAGTTCATAGACGATGCAGCGGATGAATGGAGTTCTTTAGACATATCGCGGGTCTCTGAAGAATAATGCTTTGGCTTTCTTTTTACTCGAACGAGGCAGTCGAGCGATCAATTCTTTTTCCCCTCGGTGGCTGCAATGCAGGCCACGGCTATCTTCATCGGCTTGAGTTGCCATTTAACGCGCAACGGCTCTGGCAAGACTGAATGCTCTACGTACTGCTCGTCGCTCGTCTCGCCACCGTCGGTGGGGTCTCGTTCTCTCAGAATGTGCACCTGCGGTCCGAGAATATCAAGGTTAGGGGGTAGATTGGGTACTCGGGAATATTGATATTCCATTTCGGGGGAAGATTGGGCTTGGGGAGCACTGCAGGGAGGTGGCCATGTTTTTGTTGAGTGGAGGAAGAAAAATAGTTCATTTGAGTTTAATAAATTTTATTTGAATCGAATAAATCGTCCATTTTATTTTAATAAACCATTTTTCTGGGTGTGAGCGATAAAAAAATCAGTAGGTTTGAGAATTCTATTTTTTTTTTCTCTTTCGTGAAGAGGGAATTGAAAAATAATTTTATTGTGATTCTATTTCGATTGCTATTTTGAGAATTCGGCGATAAGTGAAGAGAGAATTTTAGTGAAAAGCCAATGGAATCTCGAATTTTTGAAGAGCGAAAAGACGAAAATTCCTGAACTGACTGGAATTTTTTATGAAAAGATGAATATTTATTATAAAATTCCCCAAATTTTTCAATTAAGTGAGAATGCAATAATTTAGTCCCACCGATTTTACTGAGTTCTACTCAATTTCATGGAATAATTGAACTAAAATTCTCAATCTTCATCGACTTTTCAATATTCTGATCGAAATTTCCGAGAATTGCGCAGGAAATTTCATTCTCAAAAGAATATAAAATATGCAACATTTTTCCCCCGTTATAAAGAAAAATGTAGTGCCCAATTAATTAACCATGTAATTAATCAATTTGGATTCGTATAATTTTATAGTGATTCTATTTCCATTTCTATTTTGATAATTCGACGACAAGTGAAAAGGAATAAATGTTCTCAAGGGTCAGATGTTCCGATTAAATGAATTTCAGTGAAAATTCAATAAAAAAAAGTAAAATAAAAAATTTATTGATATAAAATTCCCCAGATTTTTCAATTAATGGAGAATGCAATAATTGATTCACCCGAATTTTCCTAATCTCTCCTCAATTTCATGGAATAATCGAACTGAAATTCTCAATTTTCATCGATTTTTCATCCAATTGAAAAATCCGAGAATTGCTTTTTAATTTCCTGGAATAATCGAGCTGAAATTTCCGAGAATTGCGCAGAAAATTTCACCCAAAAATTGTTACCAAATTACATTCTCAAAAAAAAACTAAAACGTGCAATATTTGTCCCTCATTACAAAAAAAAATGTAGTGTCCAATTAATTAACCTTGTAATTGATCAATTTGCACTGATTCAATCTGTTGCGACAGGCCTTTGGTGCGCAATGAGCGCGAGCGAGGTAGCGGGGATAGTGCCCGGGTCCCAGATCTAAAATTCCGTACTGGGTTTCGCAGGGGCACATCCACTGCCACGGGCCACTCGAAGAGTGATAAGAGCTCGATACCTGCAACAAAATTGCCGATTCCGTTTAACATTCACTTAATAAATCCCTCAACAACGATCACAACTGAATATCGTCGTTACAGGTAGCATTTGTTCCACTTCCTCGAGGACTTTACTCCGCTTCTCCGCGAATAAATCGTCGCAGGACCCCGTGAGGCAGTCGTCTTGAAGGCTCAGGGAGTCATCAGGATCGATGAGCTTCGGCCACTGGGCGAAGTTCACCTGTCGCCCATCGGTTCTGATCGCTAATGTCACTAGCGTCATCTACAACACAATGTACTCTCTTCAATTCTCAATTTTTTGAAAAGCAACAGCGAAATTATTATCAGGACTTGGATTTCAGAGGGGGGGAGGATTTAATCTCTCATTATCCATGACGAGAATTAAAAATATAAAGTATTACAAATTAAATGTGCGCATTAAGCGATTTTTAATGACGCCTGCGAGGCTGCGTAATGTAATCATCATTATTTCACTAATTTTCGAAGATAAAGTGTTGAATAATCGTGATTATTTAAAAGTGGGATTGTTGGGGGTGGGGATTGAACCTCCTATTACCCACACTGAACGAAAAATATGATTCTTCTGACTATATTTCATCACCATCGCACTATAGTCAAAAAGTTATCAACAATTTCTCATGGGTTACGGTAACTACGGCCGGAGAAGTAGGGGAGGGTGGGGCAAAACGGCCCCCCTTCAATTGTCAATAACTTGTGAATGACATTGTGAAAATTCCCAGTTTCAACTTCATTTTGAAGATAATTTTTCATTCTTCAAAACGAGCTCTAACTCATCCCAATCGGATTATTGAATCGGAAAATATTGACGATTGAAGGGGGGCCGTTTTGCCCCATCCTCCCCTAACTACTACAATAGAATGTAGTCATTGCTACTATTTTATAGTTCTACTCATGATAGATCTGTCGTGGTTGCTTTTGAACTTTGGTTAGTTTAACTGCATTTTGATTAGCAAAAATTACGCCTGTGAAAGTTACTATAATGTTATGTGCCGCAGACAAAAAAAATCGTATCGTTCACCAAAATGCCTCAACTATTTTCTTATTGTAAATCGAACTTCGGATTTTTCTCTCAGTGCAGTGGATCGCGAATCAGGGATTTTCGTATTGAATGAATGCAGAATTCATGCGGAGAAAACCTCCAGACGTTTTTGAAATATGACCATCGCTTGCGCTCCTTTCAAAAGAGAATCACTGACGAATTTTGCAATATGAAATAACAACTTGCACTGACATGAAACAACACTTCAATGTACAACTGAGAATCACCAGAAAGACCTTACATAGACCGCGATAGTTTTCATTTTTTCTCTCGTCTACAGAACTCGATTAAATCACTGGGTTGTCGCACTGAGTATGCCTCGAAGACTGGAAGATCCAGGTCTTTTATACCGCCTGGGATGAAGGTGCAACCCCTCTTGTACGTAGGTGAGGCAGCCCTCGAACAAAGAATCCATTAGGCGGCATTCGATAGCTACGGTGAGGAGCGTCATGGATACTATTGTATTCAAGTAACATCGCTGATCACGGGGGAGGGGACAGAGTACTCTTCTCCAATATCGGGACCTGTTCTGACATTCTGTGTATAGGTACTTAGTTAATACGTTTATTCATGGACTGGGGCAGCAACCGCCATCGCCCGAATGTCCTTTGACCCTCCGCATTTTCATTTCACTTTACGCTTTGTCAAAAATTCGTCTTCAATCCTCGATATCTCCCGACCAAACGATGCAATTCGAGTAAATTACGTCTCATTTTAAAGACAACGGACATACCTTTAAATTGAAAAAAAAATCGGGAAATTCCACTCAGCCATTGTCGAGTTATTGACGATTAAATGAGATTGGCTTTTCCTCATTTTAGAAAACGAAGCTCAAAATGCAAAAGTCGATGAAAAAACTCGTTCCCTCGACGTGTAATTTTATTTCTACGTTGACATCGGGGAAATTTTCATGATCGTAACGATTATCTTCCGCACCAGATGCGAAAAGGTCGACTCCAGTCTTTTACTATTCTCAAAGCTTTCTTGATGATCTGCTTGAAAGTGTCAAAGTCACTAGCCATCTTCAGGAAAGGTTGAAAATAACTCGGGGAGAAGGTCAGTACGTTAAATGCCATGGCAGGCGGCTCATCTGATCGCACATCGGGCATTGTAACAGTTGAATATTGAATAGAATCAATTCTGGTCAATTCTATTCACCAGTTTTCAATTAATATCTCGGAATCTAAGGGAGATGGCGCAATTTTTGTAATAACGTTTTTTGTGGAGCCGATGGAGTGCTACAACAAATGTAGTTACGAAAATTTCGCTATCTCCCGTAGATTCCGAGATATTGATTGAAAACTAGTCAATAGTCAAAATTGAATTTAAAGAATTCACATTACTGAAAAAAAAATCCTGGGAATGAAGATGTGAGGGCTTTCCTATTCCGATTTCCATTTTTGGGGGATCGCTCCATCAAAATTTCCCCTCGACACTGATTGATCTGCTACTGACGAACACTACGGAAATTTTCGGCTGAAATCGTTTCCGAAACTGCGAAGATGCGTCCACTCAGTGGGAAGAGAAAAAAATGTTCATTTTTTTTACGAAATGAGAGGAATGAAATGGATTGAGTGGTAAATACATTTCAGGGAGGACAATCTGGTCGTCATGTAGACCGAGGGAACCTCTTTGATGAATAATTACACGAAGGGACATTCCCTCTATCCCGGATGCGCAAATCTTCTTGAAAAACGCCTCTTTGATAGTTGTCGGAATATTAAGACTGCTGAGAGCCCTCGCAAAGCCGTTGATGATCGGCTTTAGTGGCTTTCCCTGCATGACTGGGGAATTCAGTAGTCTATCCTCAAAAGAATGACAAATATTTTGAGCTGGGGAACATAAAATTTGTGACAAATCTCCGCATTTTTCGAAATTTCACACACGGAGAGAAATTTTTGATAAAAATTATCCTACTGTTCTATAAAAGTGTATCATGAGCCATCGTTTTCTCATTTCTATCCCGAAATTTAGTAAAAATTAATGGATGATGAGCAAATTTAATTCTACGTTAGAGATATTTTATCCTGATGCATCATAAATTTTACGGCACGGAAATTTTTATTTTTATCAGGATAAAATTTCTCTAACGTAGAATTAAATTTGATCATCATACATTAATTTTTACTAAATTTCGAGATAGAAATGAGGAGACGATGACCCATGACACACGTTTACAGGACGGTAGGATAATTTTTATCAAAAATTTCTCTCCATGCGGTTGCATTAAAAAATTTGATGAGAAAATTCTTGGATTTCCGCTAGGAAATTCCATATAATAATTCATTTATTTTTTATTTTGTGAGGAGGGAGGGGGGGGGGGGTAATGGAACTATTAAATCAAAAATACTTCTAGATCCAAAAACTTATTTTTAAAGAATCAATTTTTTTTGAAAAATTTAAAAAATTCGTGCTAAAAAATTTCTATCAACAGAACTCCAAAAAATTCAATCCTATAAAAATATTGAGACGCTTACGAGAGAAATCGCCACAAAAATGGCTCGGATTTTTTTATATAATTTCTTCATACACGTGCATTATTCACAATCGATCGCGATTTTTTTTCATTCCCGATATTGTTTATTTTTTACCTTCATAATAGTCTAGTGACCAGTCCTCGTGGAAGCAAGATCTATATTTATGCATCAGCTTCCGAAAACACCCTTCCTCGAATGGGAAGAATGAATACGTTGCTTCAACAGACTGTGTAGTGACCGCGTTAATGCACTGAACGATCGATCCCGTAAGTACGATGATAGATAAGAAAACCGGATATTGTGCTTGCCTGTGCAAGACTAATTTCAGGCTTTAATTTTTTATTCAACATTTAATTTTGTTATTTGTAGAGGACAAAATGTCAACAAGAATTGAAAATTAAAACTTTTTCACCGACGATTTTTCTCATTCTGCCAAATTTGCAGTCTGTTTATTTCTTCACAAAAATATCGAAATCAAATAACTTTTTTAAATTCAGAATTATTTAATACTTTTGCTCGAAATAAATTGATATTTTTATCCGAGTACTTCAACAATTTTTGTTTCCTTGTCAATCTTTTTGGAAGAAATAATTGAATAAGAGAATCACCAACTTCCAACAAATTTTTAAAAAATATTACGAATACAATAAAATTAAAAATTCAAATTGTAAGAAAACCGAATATTTTGCTTGCCGATTAATTAATTTTAGGTTCAATATTCAATTTTCTGATTTATAATAGATCTCAGACAAAATGTCAACAAAAATCAAACCACCTTTTCTCCGGCAATTTTTCCCAAATTTTTCTGTCAAAGTCGCAGTCTGTTGATTTCTTCATAAAAAGAAATTTTGATTTAAAAAGTTATTTTGATTCCTATCGAACTCAAAAAACTTTTTAAAATTCCGGATTCTTTAATACTGTTAATTCCTCCCAATAAATAAAACACCAGTCCAGTTGAGTAAAAGGGCGGTTTTATTAGAACACAACGAAGAGATGCTTTTTATGACAGAAGCCCAAGACAAGTGAAGTTAGAATGGAAAGACAAAAACTCATCATCATCGACCAGCTGATCAATTAAAAACATATGATTGGCTGACCCCCCCCCCTGCCCCTTCCCCCACCACCACAAGGGAAGGCATGTAAGGACTACCCCTAGACATGGGAGCTCAGAATCGGAGCTCATAGCCTTGAAGATGCAGACTGCAATGTTTGCGAAACGTCGGCGCAACGCTGAATCCAAACGCGGCATCCATCCGGAAGCCAAAGATGTCATTAATCATGGCCCCGAAAGCCTCAAAACTAAGACTCATCATCATCATCGTCTGTTCTGTTATCATGGAACATCCTTCAGCTTGTACATCCGAAAGAAAGGGGAAACTCGCAACAATACTTTCGCTCGAATTGAATTAATACTCCCACCCAAGTCAACAATTTTTATCTCCCTTTAAATCTTTTTGAAGTAAATAATTCCCTAAGAGAATCACCAGCTCCCAGCAAATAAAAAAATCCATTACAAACACAATAAAATTGAAAAACGCTGCCGTCAAAGCAACTGCTAAGTCTTCTCAGAAATGTTACGAGCAGAACAACCCAAGTAGTATCGTCACAGGCAGAAACAAGAAGTATGGAAAGTATTTCGGAGAACGGACGGACGCCCTCAGAGAAGCAAAGACTCCGGTAGCTCGTCATTGACCAAGATTGGATCGCGCCGACTGGAAACTTTCGTTCCCCAGAATATACAATTCATCCTCTCTTATAACATGAGGTATGCAGAAGTATCCAGAGGCGTGATAGCTAATGTTTCTTTCTGGAATTCTCACGGCGGAATTTTCCAGCACTTAATTTTCTCCGTACCATTTGCAAACGATTGGAACAGAACGGTGTTTGCTCGACAATATGAAAGAACAAATAAAGATTGATGGAGCGGTTCGTGATTATTAGTACGTGATTGATTTTCCTGTGCACTCTGTATGTAATAAATAATATTGTCAGGTACGAAATATTTTTAACTTAAAAAAAAATTGAAAAACATTTTGTTTTCTCATTTAGTTTATTTCAATAAACAAAACTGGATGGAAAAAATCTAGTCGCGATTTGGAAAAACGTTTGGATTTACTGACCCCGGAGCGATTTCCCCACACATTTTTTTTTGTTCAATATTTCTATTCCAAAAGTGCAGGACACGTGTGATATGTTCGATGGAAATAGCCGAAAACAAGAGAATTATTGAATAGAGTTACCGCAGGAGCTCTAGGGCTTTCTCTCCTATTTGTTCATGCGCTATTGTGGGGTTCACCCGCTGGCCGCCTCAGCCGCGACGCCCAAGGCCAGCAAACATCGCGCAAGCTTTGATTTTCCAGCAGCGCTCACTGCAACTAATTCATGTGTGCGAGTATAACCACCAATTATCTGCGAAACTTCTCACCCTAAATTGTTTGCTGGTTTTCAACTAATATACTCGGGGAAGTAGCCAATTCGCAGTGGAAACTGACGGTCCGAACTTCTAAAAAATATATGAAAAAATTTTCGATATTCATTTCACTGGAAAGAGAGTAAAATCGTAAGAATTTAAATTTGCATTAACATTTTCGTTCAGGCATTTCACAAAATTAATTGGCATCGTTCTATTTTTCCCGAGGGGTTATGACCACCTGGGTTGCGAGACGCCACCGCAAGGTGGCGCAGTAGCCAAACACAACCACAAAAAGAAAAAAATCCCCGAAAAATGGAATTCATTCGATTCAATTCATTTAATTCAATTCGTTCGACAATCGTGGGTTTATGAACGTGGAAAATCCACCTCCCGCCGATTTATTACCTCCGAAGCAAAGAAAAATCCTGCGATCTCCAGACTTTCTCCATGTACATGGGAAAAAAATTATAATGAATGGAAATTTCAAATTCATTGATACCCCGATAAACCAGGTGCAATATCTCGTTGACACGTATATCGTGAAAGGGTTACTTGAGATTGTGGCTATTGCGCCCGCGCACTTGTTACTTTTCCCGCCTCAACCCCCTCCCCCGTGAGCCGCGGGAATCGCTCTATATATTTCACGGTATCACGCACACCAGTCATTGTGCTCCGCACGCTTTTCCGAGACCTGGTCCAACGCTCAGATCTTGCTACAATCATTCGTGTCGATTATTCCCGAGTCGTCAGTTGTGAAACATGGGTATTGCGCGAGCCATCAGTTTTTCCGGACTTGTCCTCGTCTTCTTAACTGCAGCGTCTGCTATTCCTCTACAGGTAATTTATAAACAATTTTTTTGCGATCGCTTTGCCATTTACCCTTTAATTTTTTATTTATGTATGAAATGAAAAAATTTACAATCTTTAGTTCCATTTGTTTTCAATTTATTCATTTTTAAATTCATTTTGCCATTCACCATTTCATTTTTTTGTTCATCCCTCAATTTTCCTCAAAATGAAAAAAAATTACGATCTCTAGTTCCATTTGTTTTTAATTTATTCATTTTTTTTAATTGCTCCACGATTAATAGCCGCAGATATGGAGTTTTTTAAATGAGAATCGATTTTTCTTGCACCTCGGGAAGAAAAAATTACTATCATAACTCTAACGATTTTTTTATTATTCTTAAGAATGACTTCAAATATTTTCAATCATAAAATTACGCCCGAACAATTTGAAAAAATTCAACTTACATTCCTAAAAAAATGATTTTGTTTAAAAAATCGGAATCTTTGGAAGCTGCAAGTTTTTAATTATTCTATGATTTCTCCCAAAAAAGAACAATTTATTTCAAAATAGAGAATTCAGTTCCAAAATTGTTGCAAAATTTTCGGTTTTGTTTAGTTAAAAACAACAGAAAGCGAAAAATACGTATTTTCAATTTTTTTAGAATGTGCTTTTCAATTTCATCATCTCCCAAACATTTTCATGACAATATCCGTCATTCCGAGCATATCAGCTCTCAACTTGTTGCATCTTCGTACAGATGTGCCTCTCCCCGTCCGGGACAGCCTTTAAAAATCATTCCATTCGCAGCACTTCCCCTGCATCCAAAACACGGAATATAAATTAATCAAGTTGAATATATCCGAAAGTAGTTATAGGAGTATACATTATCCTTGTGAATTTAATGACACTCAACACATGCACATGAGCTCCCGTGTTGTGTGTTTCATATAAACTTACTCCAGCGAGAAACAACTTTTCCCATGCATACTAATATAAGTGCGGGAGTGAAGTTCAGTGCATGGTGGCTTCATTGCACTGGGGGGGTGAAAAACTGACAAGATGGAATGCATATATTCTCACAACTATATTTTAATTTTACACCTTGGACATATTCTAATGGTGAACGTGAATTACCATGTGCATTTTCACGTTACTTTGAGGCAGTTTATTATTTATTTATGAGGTACATTACTCACTATTCATAATGCACTATTCAGGATTTTTAATAACGATTCATGACTCCAACATTTACAGTTAATTATGTAAACAATTTTTTGATTAAAATTTAATTTGAAAAAAGTGTAGAGTAATCAATCATTTTTATATTAAAATAATTTGAATTTGAATAATGAATGGATTTATTAAAAACTTTTTTATTTAATTGAACAATATTTTTTGTGGAAATTTATTTTAATGGAGATATTTTCATTATGTGAAATGAAAAATTAATGAATTCCAAATGAAGTCTCAATTGGAATCAAATAAACTCCACTATTTCAATGGAATGAATTATTTCTCTCAATGAATAAATCATTTGAAATTTCATAAATTGCCAGGCTTATTTTCGTATTTCTTTGAGGCAGTTTATTATTTATTTATGGGGTACATTACTCACTATTCATAATGCACTATTCAGGATTTTTAATAACGATTCATGACTCCAACATTTACAGTTAATTATGTAAACAATTTTTTGATTAAAATTTAATTTGAAAAAAGTGTAGAGTAATCAATCATTTTTATATTAAAATAATTTGAATTTGAATAATGAATGGATTTATTAAAAACTTTTTTATTTAATTGAACAATATTTTTTGTGGAAATTTATTTTAATGGAGATATTTTCATTATGTGAAATGAAAAATTAATGAATTCCAAATGAAGTCTCAATTGGAATCAAATAAACTCCACTATTTCAATGGAATGAATTATTTCTCTCAATGAATAAATCATTTGAAATTTCATAAATTGCCAGGCTTATTTTCGTATTTCTTTGAGGCAGTTTATTATTTATTTATGGGGTACATTATTCACTATTCATAATGCACTGTTCAGGATTTTTAATAACGATTCATGACTCCAACATTTACAGTTAATTATGTAAACAATTTTTTGATTAAAATTTAATTTGAAAAAAGTGTAGAGTAATCAATCATTTTTATATTAAAATAATTTGAATTTGAATAATGAATGGATTTATTAAAAACTTTTTTATTTAATTGAACAATATTTTTTGTGGAAATTTATTTTAATGGAGATATTTTCATTATGTGAAATGAAAAATTAATGAATTCCAAATGAAGTCTCAATTAGAATCAAATAAACTCTAGTATTTAAATGGAATGAATTATTTCTCTGAATGAATAAATCATTTGAAATTTCATAAATTGCCAGGCTTATTTTCATATTTCTCTGAGGTAGTTTAGTATTTATTTACGAGGTGCATTATCCACTATTTTATAATGTATAATTCATTATTTTTAGTAGCGATTCATGACTATAATATTTACAATTAATTCTCTTAATAAAATTTAATTATTACCAAAGTAAACATTTAATTTTTGAATATAAAATTCAATTTGTTAATTAAAGTGTTTCAATTAATTTCAACAATATTTTCACCCAGAATTAAACTCACATATTTATTTCGACGAAAATGTTCAAATAATATGAAATAACTAATTAATTAATTCCAAATGGGCCCTCCATTAGTTTAAAATAAACAATTTCTCTCGATGTCTCATTTCCTATTCCACAAAATCTTGTTAGTTCCCACACTGAACGGTCAACTGAAGAGACATCACCCCAATATTTTCCCATTGATGTAAACACAAATTTCACTGTTTAATCTTTGCATCGAGACGCGCCCCTCTCCCTTAATTAAATGATAACTCAATCGACGAATGAATGCTGCGAAATATTGTCAACAATTTTCACTGGTCATCCCCATTAATGATGTTATGCATCCTAACTATCTGCAATGGCGGAAGTTACTGTGGTAACAGTATGTGGTCATTATATCAGAACGTCAGAAGCAATGTCTGACCAGCATGATTTCAACCCCTGTATCTGGTGGAAAATTGTGTTAATAATGAGGAAGGGAGAGTGAAAAATCTCATGATTCAACTGTAATTGCGGAAACCATAATTGTGTTAATTTTTGAATTAAAAATATTGTAAAAATATTCAATTAAAGACATTGTTTAAACTTCCTGAAATTATTTTTTAATACAAAATAGTTTTTCATAAAATTCTGAGTATTGACAACTAAAGTGGTTTCTAGAGAAGACAATTTGTTGTTTGTAAATTATTTGTAAAACATTGCAATTTTTCTCATAACGTAAAACATTGTCGAATTTTTTTCGAATTGAAATAAAAACAATTAAAAATGTCGCGAAGGATTTCAACAAAAAAAATCATGGATCATCATTATTTGAATTTCAACTCGTAAAAAACTATTTATCTTCAATACTCACTCCGTAATAATAAACAATCCCAATTGTTTAAACCTTCTGAAATCTTATTTTTTTACTCAAAATAGTTTTTTTATAAATTTCTGAATATTGACAACTAAAATGATTTGTAGAGAAGACAATCTGTCGTTTATAAATTATTTATAACAAATTGCAATTTTTCTCACAACGTAAAACATTGTCCAATTTTTTTCGAATTAAAATAAAAACAATTCAAAATTTTGCAAAGGATTCCAACCAAAAAATCATGGATCATCATGATTTAATAATTCTATCTCGCAAAAAAATATTTGTCTTTAATACTCACTCCCTAAAAATAAATAATCCCAATTGTTTAAACTTTCCGCAATCTTATTTTTTACATAAAGCAGTTTTTTATAAAAATTTTAGTATTGACAACTAAAATGATTTCAAGAGTGGAAAATCTATTCTTCATAAATTATTTACAAATATGACAGTAATTTTAAACAATTGTAATTTTTAAATAATCTTCAAAACTCTTCTCAAAGCGTTGAAACGTTTCAAAAATTTTCCAATTAAAATAAAAAATAATTACTAAAAACTGAAGTGTTAAAAACACTTAATTATTGATTAAAAATAATCAAGACAACTCGAGAGAGTTCAATTTTCTGTATGAAAAATTGCGATTTCTTTGCATATGCGACGTACCCACACCCCAGTCCCTCGAGAATCCCCAACATCGGAGAACTGAGTCAGCACGGAGGTCAGCCTCGGCGATGTTGCGTGTGTTCACGAGTAAATTTGCCTCGCATCAATTTTTTATCAGCCCTCCTTTTTTCAGATGCGCGGCGAAACGTCAGGCTTGAATGAAGCTGTTTACACTGAACCAGAACTCATGGAGGCATTGGCGAGGTCGTACGGGGCGCTCGGTGAGTAACACCGTTAAATATTTCACCTAATCACCATTTGTGCTGTAAATACGTTCAACCCAGAGGGATTTAAGGCTGTTTATCTGTTACACTCGATTCTTGCTCTCGGGAATTGGAATTCCCGAGGGTCTGTTCGAAAAAGTGCGGCCACGGGGGGATTCAACACTGTTAAACAACACTTTTTCGTTATAGATTTTTTAAATAATTGAATTTAAAAATGCCAACACTGATTATATTGCAATTTTTTTCACTAAAATAATTCTACATTTTCCCCAGATGAAATTAATAGAACAACCTAGCGTTTTCTCTCAGAAATTCCTTTGAAACTTTAAAAGAATTCTCTTTTATTATAATTCTGTCTGAGAATTATATTTGTTTTTTGCCTCATTTCCACAGGTGATTACGCAACCCTGTCCTTCTGTTAAAAGATATTTGATAGAAAAAAGTCAAATGGATTTTGATTTTTTATCGAAATTTAATTATTTCTTATAATAAAATGGAAGGAAAAAATGGGAAAAATCCCAACAGAATAAGTTATAAAAAATAATGAACATTTGTGCCCATTCTTCTATAAACAAATATTTATTTCAAAATGCGGGGGTCTCCGCATGATTTTTTGTAGAATTAGCGCAAGAATAAATAGACTCTTTCAATATTAAATTTTTTTATTCATCAGCGAAGTTTTTGAATTTTTTCGTTCATTTTAACAGAACTAGATTTTTTTCGATTTATTGAAGAAGAACACGTGTTAATTAGTTTTTTAATTTTCTTCGGCCCGAGGCATCTAAATAATTCTCCACTTTTGCGGAATTTTTCTAGCAACTTATTTTGGCGTAATAGATCAACAGCCTTGGAACCCTGTTGGATTAAGCTTATCTAAATAAGAATTGTAAGGTGGCGGAATTTATGTCGGGCTCTGCGATATGTATAATGCTTCCGATAGTATTGGTAACTGCGGTGGCTGGCTCGAGTGATCCATCAGGCTTTTCCTCTGCTCCTGAGTAACAGCATCGGAAGTGCAATCGGACCATTCACTATTGTTTTAAATTTAAAAGAATTTTGCACATTTCACATCCACCAACTGTGGGATATTCTCTAGAGATGACAATCTTTTGATAATAAACAATAAAAACTGAATAATCAAAACTATAATTAATAATAATTGAGAATAATTCATTTTCAAAATATTTTGGAAATCATTTTCTCACAAAATCAAAAAAAATGTCGTCTGCATTTTAGAAACTATTGGGGCAGAATGGGTCAGTGGGTTCCTCGAATTTTCGCATTTCACATAGGCCAGTATGTTTCTGAGGGAGATTTTCTAATTCAGAGAGGTTCGAACAATTTTTTAATAATAAAAAAATAAATGATAATTGAGAATAATTAATTTCGAAAATATTTTGACAATAATTTTCTCACAAAATTCAGAGAATTTCATCTGCATTTTAGAAATTATCGAGGCCAAACGACTGCTATTTTTTTTGTGTAATTCCGTATTATTTCGGCGTTTTATCTCGTAAATTCTGTAAACAAACTAGATTTTCCTGGAATTTTCGGAAAAATCCACCGAAACAACTGTCCGCATTTTGAAAGCTTTTACATTGTCCATCTAGAACCGTTTGCCATCACGGCTGGAGCTCTCCCGGTGAAGCACTCATGCCCCCCTGCGTCACGCAGTTTTCCAAGATCGAATTATCTTGGGAAAATGTTGGAAAATTCACGTGAAAAAACAATGTGAATTAATGACATCGGTTCTCGTGGATCTCATTCATTTTCGGTATTCCTTTTCATCTTGTTGGATCCTTTGAGAGGGTCTCGGGAGATTCTCGTGAGCCGGCTGACCATTCGCGTACTGCACTACTTGGATTTGAAAATGTCAAGGGAAATCCAGTGATTTTTACGGGTTTTCTCTTGGAATTTTTTATTGATTTTTTTTTCTGTGCAATTTTTAAATTTTCTTCTCTAAATTTCAGTGATTGAAGGAGAATTAACGATGTTAATTCATTAAGAATTAATTAATTACAAAACTTAGAAAGCAATTTTTCATTTTTTTTTGATAATTTCAGTGATTGAATCTCTAATTTTTACTGTAGGTTTAGTTAGTGTCACGAATTTTCAAAAGCTAGGAATGAATTAATTAACAATTAGTCGATTATAAAAATTAGGAAGTAATTTTCACTGGATTTTACTGGCAATTTTTCATTTAACTTTTTCTCTGGGTAATTTCCAAATCTTTTTCTCTAAATTTACAGTGATTAAAGGGGAATTAATTCCTTAAGATAATTATTTATTAGGAATTAATTAATTAGAAAAATTAGGAAGCAATTTTTAGTTATTTTTATCTCAGTGATTGAATCCCTCATTTTTATTTCATCCTTCATCTTCAAAAATTAGCAAGTAATTCATAAAAATTACGGATTTACCCCTAAAACCTAAAAATTTTTGTCATCCGAGTTTAATTAAAAATATCTCAAACTCACAATTTCCACCGGACACCCACAAATTTTTTCTCTCGGCATGTACAAATCCACATTGCGACCTTCAACCTCTCCCTTCTCAGCAAGAAATTTCGCTACTTGATGAGAATTCTCCTCCCCCTCATACCACATACGACGAAATTTCAAGCGATTTCGTTTATACGTCTCCCAACAGTCCAATTACTCAACTTCATTCTGTCGTGTTTCGCCGATAATGAATACCCACCACTTAAGTTAGTCACTTCGTCTTATCCAAAATTGCGACGGCGATAGTATCTCCGAACGGCTGAGAAAGGCCGCAAAAAAATATCGTTAACATACAATTTGAAACGCTTTCCATGTTTCAGAGCGAAAGTGGTGATAATAATATAATTACCCTCTGCAGTCACTAACCCTAGGTTGATCACCAAGATTGATTAAATAAATTCATGAATACATTATTTATTATAAATAAATAAAAATAAACAAGTTGATGAAAAATTAAAATTAAATGGAAGTGAGCCAGTCGCATTTTAATGGATATAAATATAAATAATTATATACATTATTGTTATTTTTTATATAATATATAAATTAATTTATAAAAATATTATAAACAATAAACAAAAAAATATATATAGAATTCGTTGTAAATGAATAAAAATCAACCAGTTGATGAAAAAATAAAGTAAAATGAAATTAATGAAGACGTAATGTTAAAAAAATTGTTCATCTGTTGGAATAGTTCAGTAGCGAAGCGGTAAACCGGGTTAAGTCGATTTAGATTATTGGCCAGTTTTTGACGAATATCTCGGAATCTAAAAGAGATAGAAATTTTTTTGTCATAACCTTTTTTGTAGATGCAATTAAGTGTTATAAAAAAGGTTATGAGCAAAATTTCACTATCTCTCTTAGGTTCCGAGATATCCGTCAAAAACTGACGAAAAGTCAAAACCGACTTAACCCGGTTTACCGCTTCGCTACTGAATTATTTATTGAAAAATATAAATAAATCATTTTCTAGGGACTTCAATTGACGAATCCAATTTTTTTTTTATTTTTCCATTCAATCAATCAATGGTAAAAAAAGTCGCGCTCCGGCGTTTTCCTCCTACGGTGACCAATCTAGGGTTAACGTTGTTTCGCGCACTCCCCGTGGAAATGTTCGACGTCCGCCACTGCCTATCGATTCCCCTTTAATGCATCACTTACGCCTAGGCCATGTGAGAGCAGTGATGTAACAGTATTGCGTGCGTACAACGTATAACCAGCTTCATTAGCGAGTTCATTAATTAGGATGGATAATTTATACTTCTTTGTCAAGTTTCCTGTATACTATTAATCCTTTTTTGTATCAGCATGGAGCGATTATTCATTTTATTATCGATTGAAGCCATGTCGGGTGCACAGAGGGAGAGGATAAAGAGTAGGGAATGTTGAGAATGTTGAGAATATTTTGTGCCTAGGGAATATTTTGATTGCATTATTTACGTTACTTTATTTATGAATTCAAAGGAAAACTGCAAATTACAAATTTTTTGTAAATAATTTTTATTGAATTGAAAAAATAATGAATCAAAATATGAAATGTCTAAATTCAAATCAATCAAATCAAATTATTCCATTAAGGCCCGGGTGTACTATCTTTCAAACGGTATTTCGATGTTTTTTTCATCTCCCGTCATCTGAAATTGTCAATTAAGTCCTGCATCATGCAGAAGTTTTGAAAAATTATGAATGAATAATGAAAAAAAAGTAGACAAAATTCTTAATTTTTTCAAAGAGCATTTTTAATTTATATTCAGAATAAGTTGAATAACAAGAAATTGAAAAATGTATCTGATTTACGGTGACAAATGGCGGCCTGTCACCCAATATCATGCAGGGGGAAGACTGATTTCGTAAATATTTTCCCACACTGCACGGAGACATTTATTACGGGAAAGGCTCTTTGAAAAAAGTTGTAATATTTTGGAGAATTTTTTAATCACACTTTTATCACATAATAATGGCAGATAACTACACATCACTGTTTTGAAAATTGAGATACCTAGCTGTCACCTCCCATGAGGACTTGGTATTTTGTTATCCACCATGGAAAATGACAGCTAATATATAATTAGCCACAGTGAATCAGATATTTGTAATTTCCGCTTTTTTCAACTCATTCTGAATTCCAATTAAAAACGCTCTTTGAAAAAGTTCAGAATTTTTTCCATTTTTTTTTATCATTCTATCATAATTTTTGGGAATTTCTACATGATGTACCACTCAATTGACAGTTTTTTATTACGAAAGATAAAAAAAATCCAGATAATATTCGAAAGATAGTACACCCGGGCCTCAATTTATTTATTAATTACAGTTTAAAAAAATTCTTTATCAAAAAATTATAGAAAGTATCTTCTTTCATTAAATTAAAAGCTATTGATTATCAAAGAAAAATTCTCCGACAAACAAAAATATGATAATGTAGACAGCTTTGAAATAACAGTGGGAATCCCCGAAATTCTGACGTGAGAGAAATTGACATTACATGACCATCATTTTTTAGACCTAACGCATTTGAAAGCCTGACGTCATCTCGCATCCCTGCTTCTCATAAAATGAGTAGGGTTGCCGTATCACTGGTGGAAATCAAATAAATATGGAGCATGAATGACGGGAAGAATAAAATCGTGATAAAGCCGTTTTTGGGGGTGATATCCCACAAATATTTTTTGTGATGGCTGACGGAACATATGATTCGCATTACAACGGTATAATCTGCGAAAATGGCTTCAAGCCACGTGTAGTCTCCAGAGTGAATTCAATTTGTCATTCATTTCGTGGGAATTTCGGGGGAAACGCCTCTGCAGGTTTTGCATATCATTCTTCAATTGATACTGAATAAATAAATGGATAATATTTAGCATATAGTCCGTGACATATCTTATGTCGTGTCAAATAGTGGATGAATGAGGGAGAATATTTGACTCGTTCGAAACAGATAATTCAGTTCTCTTATCTAATTTTTTTTGTTGTATCATTTTGTTGAATATATTTTGTTTATCACAAGTCAGAATAAAAATTTATTTTGATAAAATTTTTATGAACGAAATCTCAAATAAGAAAATTTGTATTCTCTGTAGAATAAATTCATTGTTTATTCATTTGATAAAATTTCATATTATATTTCATTTGATATTAAATAAGTAGCTGGAAAATATTTAGCATATACTCCACGATTTTATGAAATGTAATTAAAGTAGCTCTACCCTTACGGTAAATTCATAGATTATTAAAAACTGCAAAAAAATGGCAGAAAACTCGATTAGATTCGGAATTCTAATTTTTTCCTCAATTTAATTATCGTTTTGGTTTTTCAAAGAAGAAATGTTTAAAAATCAGGATTTAACCCAGGGTCTTATGTGAAAATCAACATTTCCATTGTAATCAAAGATTAAAATCTGAATTTTTTTTCATTAGATGTGAAAAAATCAAGAATTTTTTTGACACCTCATAAAAAATAATCTACCGTTTTGCAAATAAGTTTTATTATTTATTTATAAGAGGAAAATTTTTGAAAAAATATCAATATTTTGCGAAATTCAATTTAGATAATACTGACTGGGTATGAATTTTTTCAAATTTTTTCTATGCGATTTAGTTGAAAAATTTAAACACTGAAAATATCCAAAAGTACAGCGTAGCCCGGCCGAAGGGCAGAGCTACTTTAAACCAAAATATAATTTAACACAGGAAAATAATTAACTCGTTCGCATCAAATTCTCACATCTAATATTTTTTATTATATCAAAAATCTCTGAAATAATTTACGAAAAGGGAATAGGGGAGGGGGGGGCAGAATGGTAATTCAGGAATAAATTACTCCACTGGGACCAGTGTGGGGTCATCACGCAGGGGAATGATTGCACTCGTCCATGGAAGAAAAAAAATGACTCCACGTCATCGAAAATTCAATGAGTCATTAACATTTGAAAAAAAGTCACAAGTGTCGATTTTAGCCCACTCCTGTGCACCACGTGGAGGCCATTTGTGGGAGGCGATGCTGTGACTTAACAATGACAAAAGTATTCGAACCCTTCTTCACAATGCGTCCCAAGGGACGAGCCGATTCCAACATCAGAAGTCACACAATCTTACAGATTTTTTCTCATGGGAATGGGGGAATAACAGTCAATTTTAGGTGGGTATAATGGGTGTATACGAAGTTTTATTTTCAGGGCTTTTCATTCTGTTTCAATTCAGTTACCACTGAATCTCTTGGGACAATTGAATTTCTTTTCTCGTTTTTTCTCCAGTTAGTGGTTTTTACAGTGGATTTATAATGCGTGGCAGTAAATAAATAAATGTGTGAATATCAGTGGCGAAGAAATGAATATAAATGAATGTATGAAAAATAAAATAACATTATTCGCGACAAAAAAATTATTGAGAAAAAATTATGCGTGAGAATCGCAAGATTTTTCTGCTTTTACAAATTCTTTTTGGGGAAGTGTTTTTGCTTTTTTAATATCATCACGCGATGATTGTGTTGATACAATCGACTTATAACCAAGTTAATTCGCGCCAAGACTCATGACTCCGTATCGATTTGACTGTCGGTTTAGCGGCCCTGTGAGTCCACAATGCGCGCTTTGTTATCGTCCATATATCCGATTGAGTTGTCAGAAGGTACGTCCTCATGATTGTCTCATGCTGTCGAGTTTGTTGAGCTTCAATGTTGTTGATCGGTCTGATGCTTGAAACTATACGTCATGCATGAAAAATATTCAATACAACTCTTGCTGTTCTGTTTGTGAACGAAAAAAAAATCTAGAAAAATTTGATACATTGAGAATTTTGGGATAGAAATCCGTCGATATTATTTTCTTATTTTTTCTGCTAGAATTTTTGTGTCTGGAACAAGAAATATGGAGAAAAAAGAAAATTTTTCAATTTTTTTTGAAGATTTTTTATGAACAAAATTTAAAAAATAAAATGAATACAAAAATTATTAATCTATTGACTTCAATTGATTTTTCGTCAATTTTTGCTTTTTCAAATAGAATATTCTTAATGAAAATATCAAAAAATAGCGCAAGACAGAAAAATTGAAAGGAAATAAAATCTGCAAAATTCATTTGGAGAAAATTTTGTGAACGAAATTTCAAAAAAGGTCAATTAAATAAAAAAAAAGTTCATGAATTGGCTTTAATTAATTTGTCGGCATTTTTTTCATCTTTATCTTGAATACTTCAACTAAAAATCTGCAAAAACCCAAGACAAAAAAAATTTTATGAAGAAAATTCCAAATAAAATAAATTGCATTGAAAAAGTTATCAATCCATTGACTTCAATTGATGTTGCCTCCTTTATCTTGACTAAAAATCCCCAAAAAATAATGAAATTCCCCAGCAAAAGCCCTAGCTTTTTCTATTGATTTTTTTCATGTGCGAAATTCCCACATTTTCCCCCGATAAAAAAATTGCCCGATTTTTTCAGAATGGAGAAATAGAAACGAGAGATCGGAGATTTCAAATCTCGAACAACGAAACTTGGATCACATCGGGGGTGGTAACCTCCTCCGTCGTGAGGTGGGGTCTCCTCAGCGGTATCGTAAGCCGGGGGTTGTCGCCTACCAGCCAATTTTCGCCCGCGGACCCAACGGGGAAATCATCCCTTACTAACAACTTCGTTAATATTCTGGGTTACGATGGCCATTCAATCGACAACGGCTACACTGAATAATGAATAGAGAATAAACTCGCGTTTGTGACAATCTCCAATTCATCAGCGATCCCATCATTATTACCGCCTATCCAATTTAAATTTTACGCATGCAACAGAAATATTTTCATGTAATGAAACACCCTTAATAGCTAATTACAAATAAATTACATGATTAATTAATGAAATTATTTGTTCATAAATTAATCGTCGAATGTTTGATGATTCATCGATTTATTCACTGCATTGTTGGAAGAAAATTGAAATTTCCAGAGCAATTGACGAATAATTTTCCTGTAATTTACTAATTAACATTAAATTCGAGGGAAAAAAATCATGAAATTCCAGGTTTTGAGGAAATATTGATAATAAGTGCCAAATTACACTGAATTTTCAATTAATTAAAAAGTTTAAAAATATATTTACCAGAATTGTGATAATCGCTATTAATTTTCACGGAATAATTCAAGTGAAATTTACAATTTTAGTGGAAATTCCTTGAAATTTCAGTTGAAATTTTTAACAGTGTAATTGATCAATTGGTTAATCATTTATTTTACTATTAGGAGGTTAATAATTTTTCGAGCCACTGCATTTAAAATAAAAATTCATCAAGAGCAAAATAAACAATTTCTTCAAAAATAAGTGTTTTAATTACCCCTTCTCCCCACCACTAATTACCCCATCACAACAGCCGAATCTAAATAATTTTTTATTATAATTCATGGTCAATTAATATTTCACTTCATGAATTAATGAATGAATAAATGAATTAATGATTAATTATCTATTTGTTGGTAATTCATTATCAAATATTTCATTATTCATTAATTTATTAACTAACTGATAAATTATTTAATCAATCATTTAAAAATGAACAAAATCCTCTGAAAAAAGGGGTTTTAATTACCCCTTTCCCCTAATTACCCCACAACACCGCAATCTAAATAAATTTTTATTATAATTCAGGTGGTGGAGCCCGTGAGGGCCGAGATTTCCGCATAGCCAGACAGTCCCGCCAGGGTTTGGACTCATTATCCGGCGCGACATTCGGCGAGAGCAAGAGATTCGACCCCCGAAGGTAAAATTCAAAAACAACCCCTCGAATATCCCCAAGACGTCGCCTCTTAACCAGAAATCCCCATCAATATTAAATTTCTGTAATATTACAAGGATTTGATCCTCACATTATTGAAGGTTGAAAATATGTTGATTCATTTTTTTACACAATATAATATTAATAATCTGATTTTTTACGAATAATAAAATATTTAAAATTTGTTAATATGAAACTGTAAATTTACTACTAAGTGAATAATTCAAATTTCTTGAAGGGAGATTTTCGTTTACAGAAGTAATCGTCAATATTCCTACCTCAAATTATTAATTGATAAAATAGTTAAAAATTTGAATATTTGAACTGATGACACTTAAGACCCGGGTGTACTATCTTTCGAACGTTATCTCGATGTTTTTTTTTCATCTTTCGTCACCTAAAATTGTCAATTAAGTCCTGCATCATGCAGAAATTTTGAAAAATTATGAATGAATAATAAAAAAAAAGTAGAACAAATTCTTAATTTTTTTCAAAGAGCATTTTTAATTTATATTCAGAAGAAGTTTAATAACAAGAAATGGAAAAATGTATCTAATTTACGGTGACGAATGGCGGCTTGTCACCCAGTTTCATGCAGGGGGAAGACTGATTTCGTAAATATTTTCCCACACTGCACAGAGACATTTATTACGGAAAAGGCTCTTTGAAAAAAGTTGTAATATTTTGGAGAATTTTTTAATCACACTTTTATCACATAAAAATGGCAGATGACTACAGACCACTATTTTGAAAATTGAGATTCCTAGCTGTCACTTCCCATGAGTAGTTAGTGTTTTGTTATCCACCATGGAAAATGACAGCTAATAGATAAGTTCCCACAGCGAATCAGATATTTGTAATTCCCACTTTATTCAACTCAGTAGTGAAGCGGTAAACCGAGTCAAGTCGATTTTGACTATTAGCCAGTTTTTGCTGAATATCTCGGAATCTAAGAGAGATAGCAAAATTTTTCTCATAACTTTTTTTATAACGCTCTATTGGCTCTACAAAAAAGGTCATGACAAAAATTTTTCTATCTCTTTTAGATTCCGAGATATTCGTCAAAAACTAGCCAATAGTAAAAAATGACTTAACCCGGTTTACCGCTTCGCTACTGAACTCATTCTGAATCTCAATTAAAAACGCTCTTTGAAAAAGTTCAGAATTTTTTCCATTTTGTTTATCATTCTATCGTGATTTTTGGGAATTTCTACATGACGTACCACTCAATTGACAATGTTGGATTACGAAATATAAAAAAAATCCAGATAACATTCGAAAGAGAGTACACCCGGGCCTTAAGGGTGCCAAGTGAATTTGAAAAAAGATTCAAAAAAATTTTTTTTGTTCCCTTTATCATTGGAGGAATATGTATTCATCCATCCGACGAAATTTCAAACCCGCAACCGGAACTAGACATCGAGAAAATAAATGCGGAAAATCCTCTATTTCGCGTGACGAACCTCGAGAAAGCATGGGATCAAATGGGTACGGCGGGTTGAAATATCTCTCTTATTCACCCCGGTACCCCATTGTTTTTTGTCGCCATCACATTGAACACATCATTCCCCATATCTTCAAATTTTTTCAAATTTTTCTTGAGTTCCTAGGGGGTTGAAACGTTCAATTTAATCGAAACTCCATAAGAGGCCGTGTATAAGACTGATTTTGTTAATTTAATTTCTCGATATCCATAAGTTCTAAAATTTACAAATTGTCACCGATGTTCACCATCTGTCTAATACTATTAATTTAAAAAATTATAACTTTGTTGGTGAATGTCAATTTTCAAGGTCATCGCCAAATTCACTTGGCACCCTTAAGTACTCAAAAACTTCAAGGGTGATGTTATCTATTTAAGGGCTACAAAAGTAATCGTAATAAAATATTACAAATTTGGATATCCCTGCTCTTAACCCCTCACTTATTCACCGATTGAGATGCACGAACGCGTGCACCAACTAAAGACCTATAATTCGCCTGCGTTGTGCACCTCGGTGCGAAATAAATGCTACAACTCCGGTGAATAATAAATTGTTGTGCTACTTTAATCTACGGGCAACTCGTGTTGCTTGAGTTTCATCGCGCGTCGCGCTCAGACCACCAGCGATATAACAACGGTTCTCTTATGCACGACGAGATAATCGTGACAACGAGCCGGAGTGAGCAACAATGCACGGACAACTCCGATGGGGGAAGTCTCTGTCGCGGGTGATGTCTCGGTCGTATTAAACTTGAACGTGTGGGTTATTCTGGGAATGTTTGAATTCACAGCAACAGACTAATTCCGGGGGTCTATCCGTTGATTTTGATGAGTCGAGGGAGATCTTGCACCCGGAGAAATGACCCATTTGTTTGAATTTAATAAAACATTCGGAATTTTTGCTTTTATTTTGATAATTAATGCGGGAGACATTCGCGAGGTCAAGTATTTGATTCGATGAAAGTGTTTTAATTACATGAAATAAATGATCCATTCTCTTCGCCGGATAAATAAATAGTTTATTTGTAATTAATTATGTCTTCATTTAGATTAAAGAGACATTTTTTTAATTTAAAAAAAGGATTCATTCGATATGAATGAAAATGCAGATAAAAATGAAGTAAGTTTGAATGAAATGTTATAATTTATAATTAATTAATTAATTATAAATTAGTCTTCAAGCGATTGTTTTTCGGCAGAAATGTTTAACATTTCAGATAAAATGACAAATTATTCATTAAAAAATCGTCGCCTTAAACAGTTGAATTTTTTAAAATTCATTCTTTAATTTTTCCACTTTAAAAAATATTTAATTAATTACAACGAAAAATGAGTGACTCAGTAACATTACATGTCCATTAAATTGATGAATTCCTCTCCTGTGACCTTTGGGAATTCTAGTCAATAATTAACCTTTTTTGTATTGAAAAAAATCGAAACATGTAATTAAATTTCCCAGAATCGAATTCCCAGTTGTTCTCAATTTTTTACGATCTCAAAAAATTAGTTTTTTTTTTATAATGAAAAAATCCCACACGTGTAATTGATTTCATTGAGGGGACTGTCCCACTTGAGATCAAATGAGTCGAATTAATTGAAATCCAATGAGGGGCTGATGCTAGTTCAATCAACATCAGAAGTGCCAGCGGATAGCTGAGGTAGGGATGAGGGTGCAGACGTTCTAAGGATAATCTCACCGGTAAATAGCCCAGGCGAGGATGAAAGGAGATAAAAAAATAAGAAAAAACGGAAGAAGAGAGTCCTCCGTGACTCGTTGTGGTGGAGGAAAGTAGTTTTGGCTATCAACACGAGGTAAGGACTCGTGCGCGATAGCGGAGACGAAGAAAGCTCGCCGAGTCCCGGGGCACGGATCCTACAACGAGAATTGCTTCTCTTTATTTTTTACATTGCAAAAAACACGAGACAATTTTCTCAATTAAGAATTTTATGGTCGAGGCGGGAACGATTCGGTGGGAAATGCACTGTTGAAAAAATCAAATTTTACGGACAATCGACTTATAACTTTCAGGAGGGGGAACCGTGAAAAAACATTTTAAAAATCTGAAGAAAAATTCGAAAACTCACTTTTGGAGGAAGATTGATGAAATAATTTTAAAAGCGCAATTTTGAGAAATTACGAGCATTTTATATAAATAATTTATAAACAAACAATTTTTTACTATAAAAATTATTTGTTCAAAATCGTAAAAAATTTATTCATATTCAGTTCCGAATGACGAGAAATCAATCAATTAAAAATTCTGATGATTAATTTATTAATCAGGTGATTGAATGAATTTTTAATTGATTAATTGAATGAATTGAAAAATTCATTCCATTAATTGATTAAGCCATTTTTTAATTAATTAAAAATTCATTAATGCATTTAATAATTCAACTTTAATTTAAATAATTCAACTGAAATTGACAGTTCTCATTGATTTTTCCAAAAAATTCTGAATTTTCAATGACGGAATTCCTTGAAATTTCAGTAGAACTAAAAGTGTACCGGGAATTTCAGCCGAAAATTTTTAACAGTGTAGTTCTCTATATATTAACGCTCGCCAAATTATCCTCATTAAGAAAACACGTCTCCTTAATTTTTTTATAGCTGCAAGTAGATACAATAATTCTCCCGGTGAAATTTACATTTAACCATTTACAAAATACAAGAGGAATTCTACAATTGAGCGGAATTTATCGTCGTGAATTAAATAAATTCGCGGATTCGTTTAGCAATGAAGAAAATGTTACAGCTGCCTCTATCCAAGGGAGAGCGTACAGGCCATCAATTCAACCTTCTTCCGAGGAATCTATTCTGCGTGAACCGTGGATTAATTGATAAGAATTTCTCCGTCTATTTCTCTCAGCAGTATAAAGAAGGGATTGACCCAAATAAAAAGTATTTTATTTTCAAAAAAAGACAGACAAGCGAAACAAATCAAGAAAAATTGATGAATTTTCCGGATTTTCATTCACAAGTTTTTCAGTAATATTTTCGTCATTCTCAGATCAAAATATATATTCCACTAAATAAATAATAATTTCCAAATTGTGAATCACGCACAAGAAAATTTCACTGCGCGTTTTTTTAATTCAAAATATTTCAACAGAATAAATTGTATTCTACTGATTTTTTCTACAGAACATTTTCCGCCAGACATTTCCATTAAAAAATCTCCAATAGTTTTCCAATCACGCGCAAATATTCAGAGACACAGAATTATAAAGAAGTCCCTGTTGTCACTATTTCAAAGTATTCAATTGAAACTTTATTTAAATTTATAAAATTTAGTTTTATCATTTCAATATTGTATTGAGAGGAGTCGTTACGATCCCAAGGATAATGCCCCGAGGGGATGAAGCCCCTTACTAACCAGACAATATCACAATGTTATTACGACAATAAAAATTATTCCCTTTCCAAAAAGATGAGTGTAACGGATTTTGAAGCCAGTAAATGCACCTTTGTGTATACATAGTATCAGTACACGGAGAGAAATATTCAAGAAAAATTACGGAACATTTCACGTAATCCGCAAGCGAGAATAGTTTTCAGTGAATTTCTATAGGAATATAAGAGAATAAATCTGAAACGTTCAGTAAATTTTCGGGTCACCGAAAAAATACGAAAAAGTCACGTAATTTTTCTGGAAGTTGTAAAATCTAACAGAAACTTCAAGACTTATTATGCCTCAGAACATAGAAATTCTTGGATGTTTAAGAATTTTTACGAAAAGTTTCGGAAAAATTACGGAACGTGTTGTTAAAATCTCCCCCTCATGGTGACTCATGGCTAGCCGTGAGGCGTCGGACGGATGAGTATTTTTTACGGAAAAGATCGTAGAATTTACGTGACGATTGACACTTTTTATTGAATTTTACTTCNAATTCTACAATTGAGCGGAATTTATCGTCGTGAATTAAATAAATTCGCGGATTCGTTTAGCAATGAAGAAAATGTTACAGCTGCCTCTATCCAAGGGAGAGCGTACAGGCCATCAATTCAACCTTCTTCCGAGGAATCTATTCTGCGTGAACCGTGGATTAATTGATAAGAATTTCTCCGTCTATTTCTCTCAGCAGTATAAAGAAGGGATTGACCCAAATAAAAAGTATTTTATTTTCAAAAAAAGACAGACAAGCGAAACAAATCAAGAAAAATTGATGAATTTTCCGGATTTTCATTCACAAGTTTTTCAGTAATATTTTCGTCATTCTCAGATCAAAATATATATTCCACTAAATAAATAATAATTTCCAAATTGTGAATCACGCACAAGAAAATTTCACTGCGCGTTTTTTTAATTCAAAATATTTCAACAGAATAAATTGTATTCTACTGATTTTTTCTACAGAACATTTTCCGTCAGACATTTCCATTAAAAAATCTCCAATAGTTTTCCAATCACGCGCAAATATTCAGAGACACAGAATTATAAAGAAGTCCCTGTTGTCACTATTTCAAAGTATTCAATTGAAACTTTATTTAAATTTATAAAATTTAGTTTTATCATTTCAATATTGTATTGAGAGGAGTCGTTACGATCCCAAGGATAATGCCCCGAGGGGATGAAGCCCCTTACTAACCAGACAATATCACAATGTTATTACGACAATAAAAATTATTCCCTTTCCAAAAAGATGAGTGTAACGGATTTTGAAGCCAGTAAATGCACCTTTGTGTATACATAGTATCAGTACACGGAGAGAAATATTCAAGAAAAATTACGGAACATTTCACGTAATCCGCAAGCGAGAATAGTTTTCAGTGAATTTCTATAGGAATATAAGAGAATAAATCTGAAACGTTCAGTAAATTTTCGGGTCACCGAAAAAATACGAAAAAGTCACGTAATTTTTCTGGAAGTTGTAAAATCTAACAGAAACTTCAAGACTTATTATGCCTCAGAACATAGAAATTCTTGGATGTTTAAGAATTTTTACGAAAAGTTTCGGAAAAATTACGGAACGTGTTGTTAAAATCTCCCCCTCATGGTGACTCATGGCTAGCCGTGAGGCGTCGGACGGATGAGTATTTTTTACGGAAAAGATCGTAGAATTTACGTGACGATTGACACTTTTTATTGAATTTTACTTCGCTCCCAGATTACGTTTCGAAACGTAATTTTTACGTCTTTTTTCTGGTAATTTTTATCGAATACTCCTCTCCGTGTATGAGCAGAGCTTAGCCGTCATCCCCTGATATATATAATAATATAATATAATATATATAATATGATATATATAATATACTAAATAATAATATCATATACATTATATTATTATATAAATACTTTATAATATTATATTATATTATGATTTATTATATCATATATATTATTATATGTATCGTATTATTATTGTATTAATACATCCATATATATGCATGGCAATTATCGCGAAATTTTTTTAATGAGATGAGATTTTTTTATATTTATTTATCTATATAGATTTGTTTCCATAGATATTTTTTATATTAATATCACATTCCGATAAACGCGTTCTTCCTTCTAGCCCCTCATTCTAGCGTAAACGCGCGGAGCGCGCCGCGTTTCTAGTAAGAAAAAAAAAACCAACATTTCTTGACTTAAGTCTCTCCCTTTCTGCTGAAGACCCACACGTATTCAATTACGTAGAGACAACAGACGCTGGAATCTAAGCACTCGAGTGAAACGTGTCGAGGGACCATACAATATCTATCGGGTTATTAAACGCATAAAAATACTCGTCCTCGAGTGACAACACTCGTTGGTTCCCTTTGACACAATGCAGTCTGAAAGTGCGAATTGTCGGGGAATCAGATACCGCGAGTGCCTGTGGAATGGGCACAACGGTATCTCTGTTTAGCGCAACAACACCAAAGAAATGTCTCATAATTTCCATTGAATTTGTCCTTTCAGAAAGCCAGAGCTATCCAATCTCAGTCAGATGGAACTGTACAACGGAGGGTTCAAGCGCAATATCGACGAGATTGATCGCGCTGGATTCGACAGTTTTTCGAAGAGAAATTTCGACGAGATCGATCGCGCCGGATGGGACAGTTTCGTTAAGCGACGCTTTGTCGACGCCTATTTAGCTTCAAGACAGCACTAATTGTTTACTCGACACCTGTAGTCAACGATCAATTTACAACGTGTGAGAAAATTAACGACTGCTAACATTTTACCTCAAAGATACTCAATGTTTCTCGCATTTCATCGGGACTCCTGGCGTCTTCGGTTCGTTAATTTACGATTGTGGGGTAGCTGAGAGGTTGAAACGTGATTTTTTGGTTCAACTCGGCATTTGGGATGGTTTCTCAGTTGAGAATGTTCGGTAGAAGAGGAAATCTGAGAGAAAATCACGTGGAGTCGATAGATTTTTAGTATTTTCGTGGAATTTAGTGGATTTGAGTTCATTTTTGGAAGTTCTGTTCATAGAATTTTGTTATTTTCAAATGGAATATCTCCAGTGAATTGATTTTACAGAGAGTAGTCCGGATTTATTGACTTCAAAGCGATTTCTTCAGCCTTTTTTTTTCTACTAAATATTTTTTTTCGTTTTATGCGCGTTGAAATGTTTCTGAATAATGTAAAAAATCGAAATTACTCAAAGAAATAAATCTGAATTAAGGATTTTTGTGAATTGTTGCTACAATTATCAACAGAATCTATAGTTATTGTAGTTGTCAATTGAATGAATTCAGAAAAACGTTATAATGATCAAAAATACAGTTTCAGAATTCAATATTGCAATTGAGCAATTCATAACGCGTCAGGAAATTAACGACTGCTAACATTTTACCGCAATGATATTTTATTTTCATTTAATTTACTCGTCATTTGTTGACGGGTTTTCACTTGAAAATGTTCGATAAGAGAGAAAATTTAATGGAAAATCACGTGGAGTCGATGAGTTTTCATTATTTTAGTGAAATATATTGGGGTTTCGTATTGGGGTTTATTTTTATGTTTAGTTCATAGAATTCCATCATTTTCAAATGGAATAGCTCCAATAAATTAATTCTACAGGGAATACACTGGACTTGTTGACTTCAAAGCGATTTCTTCAGTCTTTTTTTTCTATTAAGGCCCGGGTGTACTATCTTTCGAATATTTTCTGGATTTTTTTATCTTTAATAATCCAAAATTGTCAATTGAGTGGTATATCATGTAGAAATTCCCAACAATTATGATAGAATGATAAGAAAGAAAATAGAAAAAATTCTGAACTTTTTCAAAGAGTGTGTTTAATTGAGATTCAGAGTGAGTTGGAAAAAGTGGAAATTACAAATATCTGATTCACTGTGGCTAATTATCTATTAGCTGTCATTTTCCATGGTGGATAACAAAACACTAACTCCTCATGGAAAGTGACAGCTAGGTATCTCAATTTTCAAAACAGTGATGTGTAGTTATCTGCCATTATTATGTGATAAAAGTGTGATTAAAAAATTTTCCAAAATATTACAACTTTTTTTAAAGAGCCTTTTCCGTAATAAATGTCTGTGTACAGTGTGGGAAAATATTTACGAAATCAGTCTTCCCCCTGCATGATATTGGGTGACAGGCCCCCATTTGTCACCGTAAATCCGATACATTTTTCAATTTGTTGTTATTCAACTTATTCTGAATTTAAACTAAAAATGCTGTTTGAAAAAATTAAGAATTTCTTCTACTTTTTTTGGATTATTCATGCATAATTTTTCAAAACTTCTGCATGATGTAGGACTCAATTGATAATTTCAGATGACGAAAGATGAAAAGAAACATCGGGATAACGTTTGAAAGATAGTACATCCGGGCCTTAAACATTTTTATTACGTTTTATGCGCGTTGAAATGTTTCTGAATTATGTGGAGAATCAAAATTATCTGAAATAAGGATTTTTGTGAATCGTTGTTACAATCATCAACGTAATCTACGGTTACTGTAGTTGTCAATTGAATGAATCCAGAAAATCGTAATAATAATCAAAAATGCAGTTTCAAAATTTAATATTACAATTGTCCATTATGAAAATACTCTCAATGTTGAAAAGAATGATGCAAGTAATCATGTACCTGTACTATCGATATTTGCTTGTAATCCGTCGTAATTTTATGTCCTGTTTTATCCATCCGCTGTCTTTAAATAATTGTAAGTTTTATTGTAAAAAAATATACGCCGAATAAATACGTCAAGTTGAAGGAATGGCTTGGTTATTATGTCAGAACATTGTCCGAATTTGGGGTCATGCTTTTTGTGTAAGATCCCAGCTGTTCTTTTTTTATTTTCATTATTGTTCTCTTCATCTCGGATTTTATGTCGTCGGGGGTCTCCAGTTGGACATTTGCCATGTTCTCGTTCATTCGGACTAACTGATATTAATAAAGTTCAAGAAGATTCTCTGAAGATTTGATTCAAGTTCTCACGTGTGAAAAAATTCAAGAGATTTTTCATTTTTTGCAGAACTTATTCTGTAGAATTTTTTACATTTCATTCCAATTTTATTACTTAGTTATATAATTAATTATTAACTATGATATCAATAATTAATTAATATACTAATTATTTATTATTAATAATAAATATATTAATAATAATATAAATAATATAATAATTAATATAAATTGATTAATAGATGTTTAATTAATTAAATTTTAATTTTAATTTAATTTTTTTAATCACCTCCAGCACTCGGTCCTCAACTTCTCCATATCTTTTCAATAGCATTGACGTTTTTGAGCTCAATTTCGTCAAATTGTGAGTCACATGAAGCTCTTCAGCGATGTCTCCTTCGATCTGAATAAAAGAATCATATTTATGAATAAAAAATGATAATTAACGATATTAGAATTGCCCCTCAAGTGTATTCAAGCAATTATTTTATGTCGAGTTTCATTTTTCTATATAACGTTTTCTGTTGGGATATTTTCTACAGGAATTCCTTAGCATGAATTTTCTACGTTTTTTCATTCTATTTTTCTTCGTTGTCCATTAAAAAAATTTAAAAAATTAAAAAACAAACTGAAAAAAGAAGACCAGCAGAGTAAACTTTCAAGTTTAAAACTGCTTAAATAAAAAAAAAGGGAAGAGAAAAAAATGAAAAAGAAAATTTCGCCCGAGAAATTTCTTCTAGTTAATAATTTAATAATTTAATAATTATTAATTTATTAATAATAGTTAATAGCACAAATTAATCAAAAATTAATAGAAAATCCAAGGAAAATTCACTAGAATTTCATAGCGCATTTGCTAGGTTTTTCTCCGAAAAAAAGTAAAATTACTTGAATACCCTCAATTCAAATACGACAAAATTTTACATCTTTCATAAGTGCAGCAATCTTGGTCGTCACATAATCCAGACTGTCCCTGGCTTCCCTCACCTAAAAAAAAATCATGTACCTCCCCATAAAACTGTCCCCCCCGAATCATTATATTCTCACAATCGAATTGAATTCCGTAATTTCGCTGACGATCTTGTAGTGTCGTGTCATAGCGATGAAAAACTGCAACAGAATAAAAATTAGCCCTCACTTCCCCCTGAATTTTCTGTCACTCGCGTACGTACACGTCGGCCGAAATAAATTGCAATTAAAAAGTTGATGAGCATGAGGATGACATTATTGAAAAACCGCAGTAGAATATACATATTGATGCGGCAAAAGGATTGATAATGTATTTACGGGGAATGACACACGGGGAAAATTCAATTTCTACTGATTTTGACGCGCTCACCGACGCAAACGAAAAAAGTGCGCGCGCAGTAGCTGTCAGAGTAGTTGTGGCTCTCGCCGTTGCTACCGCAGCGCTAACCACTGTGCGCATTCAGCCCGTGGAACTGTTAAAAATATGCAAAAATATGAAAAACTGGAAAAAATAGGAGAAGGTAAATACGGAATACTTCTCACCGTGATTGTGTGGCACCAGTGATCATTGGGAATCGTTTGATTTGTGGTTATTGAGTGAAAAATAGCTGCGATCAGGGGGACATCAGTGCAACACAGTGTCGGCAGCTTTGATATTGTTTTTCATGCATAAATTATGCTGTTTCAGGTACTTATGGCACTGTTTTCAAAGCCAAAAACCGTGAGACCCACGAAATTGTTGCTCTGAAAAGAGTGAGACTCGATGACGATGACGAGGTAATTTTTGGGATTGATTAGTTTCTGTGTCTGCTCTGCTGTAATTTAATTTTTTAGATTGCGAGGGGAGAGGCTCAGTGTTGAGATTGATTTTAGAATTGTTTAAATGCTGACGGCGAGCAATTTTAGTCGATGACAAATTTCAATTTATCATTTTTAAATTCAATTTGAAATGACGTTTCAAAAATTTGAATTTCTCAGAATCTTATCTACGAACATTCGGCGTTATATATAAAATACGCTAGTACATATTGTATATGTTGAGGGTGGGTATTATTGAAACAACAACAACAATTGTAAGCAGTTTTTTATACAGTAAGAAAGATTTTATTATTTTAATGAGCTTCTATCTTGCTTTTTTCTGTGAGCAATTCTTGGGAGTAATCTCTCGAGAGAAGGAGAAAATTTAGAAAATTCATGTCTAGGAATTCCTGTAGAGAAATTCCCAACCGAATGAGTTAAATAAAAATCAGAATCAATTGTTCAATAGTTTCCCATGGAATTTTAATTCTAATTCGACTATAATTTGATAGATAAATGTAATTCAAGTGAAAATCACTTCCAACAGTAAAGAATTAATTTTTGTCGAATTCCACAGAGATTTCAGATTTTCAGCTCTCCTTCTACTCAATATTTTGCCTTACAGGGTGTGCCATCATCGGCTCTCCGTGAAATTTGCCTGCTCAAAGAATTAAAACACAAAAATATCGTACGCCTATACGACGTACTCCACAGTGATAAAAAATTAACTCTAGTCTTTGAACACTGTGATCAGGATCTGAAGAAGTATTTTGATAGTCTGAATGGAGAAATTGATTTAGATGTTGTCAAATCATTCTTGTAAGTCTTCCAATCATTCCCCCTCACCCTAAACTAGTTGATTAATTAATTTCTTTGCATTCATTCGTTATTTATTCACCCCAGATATCAGTTATTACGTGGATTGGCATTCTGCCACAGTCGTAATGTACTACACAGAGATCTCAAGCCCCAGAATTTGCTCATTAACAAGAATGGTGAGCTGAAACTGGCTGATTTTGGATTAGCGAGGGCTTTCGGCATTCCAGTTAAATGTTACTCAGCTGAGGTTGTTACACTCTGGTATCGTCCACCTGATGTACTCTTCGGAGCTAAATTGTACACAACGTCTATTGACATGTGGAGTGCTGGCTGCATATTCGCTGGTAAACATTCCAATATTTTTGCTTTCTTTCGTGGCTTTTGTAATCATTTGTTTTCAAATCATCTAAAGAATTCCTCATTAAAAAATATGTTTACTCATTTTTTTCTCTTTAATAGAATTGGCGAATGCAGGCAGGCCACTCTTCCCAGGCTCCGACGTTGACGATCAATTGAAGAGAATATTCAAAATGTTGGGAACACCAACAGAGGAAACTTGGCCAGACTTGACACTCCTTCCAGATTACAAAGCATTCCCACAGTATCATCCGACACAGGGCTTAGCCCAAGTTACACCTAAACTCCCGACGAGGGGAAAAGACTTGCTCCAGGTAAATAATCATTTTAAAAAAACAATTAAGATTTTTTTTGGCTGTTAAAAAAATTAACAAATTGTTTTGGCCTAATATTAACTATTTAAAATAACAATTTGTTGGAAATAACGAATTGTATTCAAGTAAATGACATTTTATTCTGTTAAAAACCCGAAATTAATGGACGAATTGGTTAATATTATTCCAGAGATTATTAGTTTGTAATCCAGCACTGAGATTATCAGCAGACGAGGCAATGGCACATCCCTACTTCAATGACTTGAACCCTGCCATAAAAAACGATCGATGCCAATAACGAGACTCCTCCATATAGAGCTCAACTGATTGCACTCAGTGTGTGTGTGACGCAGCGACCAAGATACTTAAGTGAATAAAATTAAAAATAATGAAGATAAAAATGATGAAAAACGATGACGACACTCCTTCAAATTATTTATTATACGCGTCTATGTGGATCGATCAAATTTTGAAGATATTGAAAGCAAGTCTTGTTTTATATGCAATTGTCCAAAACTAATCAATAAAATTGTCAATTTTACCACGAAAAATCGAGAAAAGTTGATTAGATTTTTATTTAGTTATTAAATATCCATTAATTACAGTTAATATAATTATTATAATTATGATGTATCTACATAGCGTCGAAGTGGAATCTGTGTGCCTCTTGCAATCTCTCGATTTTATCCTCTCGTCTCTCTTTCCAGTATAATCCAGCTATTATCGCTGATATCAAGCCACATGTTGCTGTCAGTGCTGCTGCACTGAGGAGAATTAATTTACTCGGGGTTACGAATAACTGTGCCGTCCATCTCGATGGCTCCTTTATTGGATTTGGAATCACCACCATTTGGGAGTTGGGGATTATTTGGGGCCACTCTCGGGATTTTCCAGCCACCTGAAAAGGTTCGTTATTTTTTTATTCGTGGAGGTGAAAATTTCAGCGAGAATACTAAGAATATCATATTTTTTAAAATTCAATTCCCATTTTTTAAATAATTTTCTTTAAAATGTAGACTTTGACTTTTTAGGGTTTTGAATAATTCTTGAGGGTTCAAAATGGGGAATAAAATTTAAACATTCAATGTTTATGTGATAGAATTGTTGCTAAATTGCAACTTTTATAAAAATTCTAGGGAAACATGCCATAAACTTAGTGAAATTTCAATAGTTTAGATAGAAATTCTACAAAAAATGGCATTTTTCACCTGAAATGCGAGAGAATTGAATTTCTTCGTTTTCAAAAATGTAAATGTACTACAGGATGATGAGAATATCATATTTTTTCATTCAACTGCATCGAAACCCTCGAAAATTCTATTTTTTTAAGAAAATTCTTTAAAAAATAGACTTCCAGATTTTTTACGGTTTTTGAATACATCCACTTGATGATTGAAAATGGCTGTGTGTACCAAACTGTAAAAGGCATTGAAATATCCTCAAATTTAAACATTCAATGTTTAAGTTATGAAATTCTAGTAAATCGCCAAATCTAGCGAACATTCAAATAATTTACATTTCAATTTCACAAAAATATGGCATTTTACTCCTCAAAATTAATTTTCCATTTGTTATTAAAAGCCCAATTATTAATATCGTATTTTCCAAAAGATTTTTTTCAAACCACTCACCCCAATTGTCAGCTGATCCACAAAATTCGGAGTTCTCCCCAGTCCAAACGTCGTGTACGGTAAATTGAGGGAGAAATGTGCACTCTGGGGTAACTGGGCCGCAATAGCACTCCTGGGGCTGCCATCCTGAGTGGTCGTGTTGTACGCAATAGAGGGCCCTGGCAGATTGGTCCCATAAGTTCTCTTCTTCTTCCCCAAGCTCCCCGGGGAAATGGGATACTTGCTGTTCTCGAGGCCCGTCAGGACCATGACCTTCACGAAATTGGCGTCATAGTCGAGACTGTTCTTGAAGGCCCCCGTGGTGTAAACGTCCTTTGCCTTGTCGTACTTGACGAGAATCACGTCCAGAATGCCGTCCTGATAGAAATCGTAGAACACTGCCATCACTGTTTCGTTGTAGAAGGGGTTCAGAGCTGTCCAGTGGACCTCGAACGTCCTGTTGACTCGGCCACACGTGGTGCAGGGGGTATTCAACAGCAGAAAGGACTTTATCTCAGACTTCTCTGACTGGAGGGTAGCCAGCAGGTCCGGGTATCCATCCATGTTGAAGTCGCCTCCACGCAGGGTTATTGTGTCTGTGTAACGCCTGGCGTTGAATTTCCGGGAGACGAAGCCCCAGAGGACACCCTGCTTGTCCCGGAAATCAATCTGGAGGTCCTGCCAGTCGTCGTTGTACACCAGAATCGAACTTTTCTTGCAGGTCTCGTCTGCACACGTGGGCACTATCAGGTCAACCTGTCAATTATTCAAAACCATAGTTCTCTATTATTTTAAGTATTCAGAGCGAACAACTTGCTAAATTGATTTTTTGTTGATGGTTTTATGAATTAAGAAGAAACTGTAACTCTCGTGTGTTTAATTGTTTACTGCAGATTTTTCTCAATATTAACTGTAAAATGTTTTTACTTCGTGGAGGATATTTCAACTACTGAAATTTGAGTCAATATACCACAAACACGATATTCTTAGAAAAATTATCCCCAAATTTCTTTAAACGTCAATGATCAAACAGAAACGTTATTAATTGCAGCAATAATTGTTCTTTTTTGTTCTGCATTATTTACTGTATTGTGTGTCTAAACAAATACAGCAAAAAAAATTAAGTTAAAAAATTCAAATGAAATTGTTAACATTAAACTGTAAAAAAAAATATTGACATTGAATTGTTATTAAATTATTCACATTTTACAATTGTTCATTTAGTGAAAAAAATGTCTTTATATAACATTAATTATTGTTGCGTCGAAGAATAAAAATAAAAATTGAAAAATTTTGGCTATTTACTGAAAATGCAATAATTTAACTAGAATGAGTTAATTCAAGTTAAATGATTTTCATTAGCGATTACCATGATCGTAAACTATAAAATCTCTATTCAATTGATCATATCCTGACAATTATTTACCAATTAAAATACGAAAGATTAAGAATAATGTTAAAATAATTTGATAAATAAAGAAGTATTGTGGGCACAATGACTTGCATAATTCCTACAGGCATCGCCACATTCATAAATCTTAATTACCGTTAAATTTCTAATTATTGTAGTAATCACCAATTTAATATTCAAATTATGAACTATTTTATTAAGGATGTTCGACACCCTTTTAGCCAAAATTGACGTTGTTTTCATTTTTCTGTCAAATTATCGATGGGAGTGACGTGAAAAAATATAACGATTTCGTGGTTTGTCATTCTTTAATGGCTCACGAAGTTGCGTAGTGGTGCGATAATTTTCATGCGTTTTTTCTACAGTTTTGTGATTCTTTTTAAAAGTTTAGAGAAAACGCAGGAAAATGTTCGCACCACCTTAAAATTTCGTCAGTCATTAAATAATGACAAAACGCAAAAACGTTATATTTTTTCACGTCAATTCCATCATAAGTTTGCCAGAAAAATT